ATGTATTTCCAAATCACCTCAGCATTCTATAAGGGAGTCACAATTTGAAATCATTCCAGTAGAACCTGTTCGATGCATTCACTGTGCAATAATGATGTGGAACGCATCACCAGGTTGCTATGACTTCGACACTACAAGCGACACGCATCCGGGTCACAGGTTTGAATATCCATCACGGTACTCATGCACTCACTCTCTTGTCAGAGCGTACTCGATAAACTATTGCCAAAATGAGACATCATGTCCACATACCGACGCTTTTACATGGGACACAGCAATTGTCATGAACAATGATATTTCCAAACCGTGATATCAAATTAGACAAGAAGTATTCATCCACTGAAGGCGAAAATAACTTTTTAAATGCATATCTTGTAAGTTGTATATCTTTTGGAGATAATGTCTTGAATGTAATTGTCTTCAACAACAGCTCCCACGATGTCAACAGCAGTTGATGTTCCGCTAGAACCAGGGATAATCTACAACATAACAACGTTATATAGTCTCGCTGCTAGAACACACCAAACAGCATACCGGACGGTGTTTTCAGGTCACGAGCGTGGCGCTACAACACTTCAAGGCTCTTTTCGAGCATTCGAGTTGTATTCCTCCGCACACATGAAACCGATAGATCCAGTGATGGAAGGTATTTCGGGATATAATGCCATGAAATACGTTACATTGCAACCTTTGGATCTTTGCCTATGACCTTCCAGGTGGGACCTGCTATTGGCTCTGTGGTGGGTTCTTAAAAGTATTAGACAACTTCTATAAGTGACATTAGTATGATGAACTCGAAGAATGGGAATGGTTTGCTTCAAATAATAACGTAACAAGATAGTTCGTGTTATATGGCAGTGTAATTCATTGTTAAACAATCGTTTCTATTATTATTACATTGTTTCCGCTAAGATTCAGATCCATTGTGTTTTAACAATAATTATAGTCAAGAACGTAAGAATTTTTTTTAGTCAAGCGTAATCTCGAATCTTCTGGAACGCATACAGTCTCATCCAGCACGATTGGTCTAACGGATACCGCTATCCACATGGTTTAGGACTGTGTAAATCACATGAAAAGATGGATGACGACTCATTATCTCAAATTGAATGAGGATAAAACCGAACTTCTGATAATATGTCCTAAATATATCAGATCCAAACATCCAGTCGCCCAGTTTCAGATCGACAACTGTGTGGTCCCTCCAACATCAACTGCACTCAGCTTGGGTGTCATCTTTGACTCACAGCTCAACCTTGAAGCGCACGTCAATACTGTATGCAAGCGGGCATATTACCATACTATAAGGAACATTGGGTTCATCAGAAGATATCTCAATCAAAGGACAGCTTCCGCTTTAGTTCGCGTATGTCACCTCACGCATAGACTATTGCAATTCCGTCTTCTTTGGACTTGCTTACTCCACAAACTGCTAAAGGTTCAAAACGCAGCAGCAAGAGTCGTCAAAAGTACAAGTAAGTTCGAACACATAACACCCGTGCTCAGCGAACTGCACTGGCTTCCAGTAACGTATCGCATTAAATCAAGATCGTTGTTCTTGTGCTCCAGTGTGTTCAGCGCCTGGTTATCTCTCCAGTTTGATTCACCAATACCAGCCATCGAGGTCACTAAGATCAGGCGACCAGATGCTCTTACAGGTGCCAGTTACGCGCACAAAAACGTTCGGGGACACATCATTCGAAAAAGCCGGACCATACTTGTGGAACAGCCTACCATCTGACATTCGAACACAGACCCAGTTGTGTACATTTAAGTCAACACTAAAGACTATTACAGACTCGCATACTGTAACCATAGGGTCCAGAGGGTGGGGTGCAGGGGTGCGGGAAAGGGTGCAACTCGGGTGAAAATGAAGTGTGCACCCTCCTTTTCTCAATAGTGTGCAAACCAACAACCCCCCACCCCCTCTCTCAAAAGCTGTATCCGCCCCTGTTGTAACTAACCAGTAACTCAAGTAGTTTGAAGATATTAGCGCGCTATATAAGTCTTTGAATGTATGCATGTATGGAACTTTCTACAAGGTATTTAGACTAAATTAAAGGAGAATCCGAACGAAAACAAAACTTTTGATATATTGTAAAGGATATTATAAAAGTCACCTTCCGTTATTAAAATTGGAGAAAATGTTTGTAAAATAGCAATAAAAACACAAAAAACGTACTCGTATTTCCGCCTTTTACGGAAACACCCGACAGTTAATGAGCAGGGGGTATCACGTGACATGACGTCACATGTGCCTGTTGCTGATGGCTGCCGCTTTGATTTTACCGCACAACTTAACAGTGTCCATGGATTCTGAAGCAGTAAAAGGTGTTCCTGATGTCATTTCTGAAATGGATGTTAGACCGTATCAATACGATCCGATTTTACATCTTGCAAGACAATCTTCCACTGAAGATGAAGAAGAAGAATCAAGCGAAACGGAGGCACCGCTTGAGTTCAAAATAAATTTTAAAATATACCATATCATTTAACAAGAATACTATTTGACAGCAAAATGTGATACAGTTCCAACCAGCAAACCTACCCCTATAAGTATATGACCAGTCCCTAAGAATTATATATTTTGCAATGTGATTGCGGTTCCTTTTGTGTGTCAAATGGGTGACTGTAGGGTGTCTGGGATTTAAAAACACAATAATTATGCTTCAGACCGGGGAAAATAGAAATTATCTGCTACAAAAATTACACTGGAGTTATTTTGTTGAAATTTGTTTTAGGATCCTAGTTCTCATTAATAACGTAGCAAGTGTCCACACAAAACCCCAGCCTGGTCGAGCAGAGATAATATTCGCGACGCAGATAAGTTATTCCCCGAAAACTGGTGAATTATTCAATACTTGTCAGGACAATGTGTGTTTCCCCAGTGTTTGGGTATGGAAATAGTTATGGCACTCGGCCATAGCCTTAGAATGGCATCTTGTCAGCCAATGTGAACACAGAACAACTTTCACGGCACACACTACTGACAAATAGCGAGTCTGATGCCGACGTGCGTAATTGGACAAAATGGAAAACAATGAAAGCAACAAGTACTTCATGATTTGCCGTTGTATTCGGCAATGTTTCGGGTAGTCTGCAGCATTTAGGGCTCTAAACCGAAAAGAACGTCATAGCGAAACATTTTCAAGCTCATGTGAAATCTCTTACTGATTTTGATATCTATCTCATGGGTACCAGTGGAACTGCCCCCGCTACAAAATGCCCCTGCAAATTTGGTCATTCATTCTAATTTGGTCAAATTTATTTAAAATGATTAAATATATGCCGTAAATGCATAGTTTTGTCAACTTTGATATTATGTTCTTCATATAAAAGTTATTAAGAAGTAATATTTCTGATAAATGTTCCATCAGTAAACTCATAACTATGTATATACTTTTATATGAAGAACATAATATCAAAGTTGACAAAACTATGCATTTATGGCCTATATTTAATCATTTTAAATAAATTGGGGCATTTTAACTACCCCCCTGGGGCAATTTGACCAAAACTCCGGGGCAATTTGACCAAATTTGCTGGGGCAATTTGCAGCGGGGGCAATTCGACTGGCAATCGTACTTGATTTAATGTATGTTAAAAATAACCACTGACAGTAAGCTGTAACAGGGAATGATGGAGTATAAATGAATCTCGTGGGTAATTCTTCCTTCTTCAGCCTAGCTTTGGGATTTGTATGCCCCATGTGTGCTTGTCTCTTTCATATGCGTCCGACTCGGGATGATCGGACCATTTCTCCTGCATAAGTCTGTCTCTTTACTTGGAAAACGGAAGAAAAGGTGGCTTTCCATTGTTCGATGATTCGGTGCATCCCCAGGCAACAGAATACACCATTGTACCATTTATAAAAACGACAGAAATAACACGATTTGTACTACTGTAGCGCTTGGTCTTTGGCAATATGGCGGACTCCAGGCACATTTGACGTCACGTGGGTTCCAGAGAAATATGCATAATGGCCGAAGCTGAGATTTACAGAAACTGTTTTCGTAATTAAAACATAATTATACAAAAGTTTTAATTGAAAATGTGGGAATATGTTTCTGATGACTTTATCTTTCACCCAGCAAATTATTGCAATTCACTCGTATTCTCCTTTAAGTGTGCAGAAAACCTTTGTACGTGGTTCGAATCCCGGTTTACCCTACTTGTGTGTCCTCTCCATACCCGTAGGTTTTAACCAAGGTGGTAAACGTCTTACATCACTTGGACTTTCTTCCAACATCAAGCTGACACACCGTTAGATAAAGGGTTCAAATCGGCGTTAAACCAAACCCACTCAATCACTATAACTGACGTATATATAATTCACATATCAAAGCAGGCACACTCATTCCATGTGTTTGTCACATTCTTCTGCTAGGTTTCATTTTATTTAATGTCGCATTCAATATTCCAGGTAGAAATACGTCCAGTTGTAACTAATGGAATCTGGACAATCCACTGATGGATATCATTAGAAAATCTGACCATATCGACTGCATTAAATTGTCCAACCGCCATATTTTGCTACATGCCGAACAGTAAACGTCTCAGAGCACCACCCGATTTGCACTCGGAGGAATACAGTTCGACTACCAAACGCTGTCCCAACTCCCAGATGTGAACTGACACACCATAAGTTAATGGAATAAGTGATAAGCGCGACGACCTTTACGACTACCGATACGACAAAAGGGGGAAATATCATCTGACATGTTTGTTTAGGCCCTACCTCACTCACTCACACAGTTCAGGCTCTCCATGGATACCCACATATACAGCCACTGCAACACTCTCTATGTTTCACCTGCATGTTGTGTTAAGACGACGTAAAACATTGCTCTTACATATACTAGGAGAAACAAAGATAGGAACACAGGAAAATTCAAGTGTTCCTTTACTATTTTCCAGTTTTCATCAGCATCTTTGAATAGCGCTGTGTGGGGAAATCTGGGAATAATAAGGAACACTGGTGTGGTGTTCCCTTAAAAATATTTCCCTCGGTATATATAATATCGACAGAAATCTTTCGGTAATCAATTGTGTGATTCCGGCTATCTATATGCTCACGTGTTAATCAATCATTTCAACTAGCAGGGGCGTAGGAATCGTTTTAAGAGGGGAGGGTCTGATTTATGAAAAGTATTGAAAATCAAAATGAAATTATAGTTATGGTAAGGTAGATATGGTTTCGTCTTAAAAAAAGTGGGGGGTTAAACCAACACCCCCAACACACACACACACACACACACACACACACACACACACACACACACACACACACACACACACACACACACACACACACACACACACACACACACACACACACACACACACACACACACACACACACACCGTTCCTACGCCCCTGACTACTGATGATACCAGCTGTCCTCCAAGAGGCAAGAGTATCCTGCCACATTGATGGCACCTGTTACAAACACATACCTAGTCAAGTTAATTGTCCACAGGAAAAACATTGAACATATGGCACAAGTCAATTTAGGGAATTGCCTCAAACATTTTTGTCAGTGGTGTGTCAGATTTGTAATTGCTGTCCACAAGTCTACTATAAAACATTTCGAAAGCTTTACTAATAACAGGAATGGTGTAACCTTGATCAACAACTTGTGATCAAGAACCAAATGAGCACTAAGTCAGAGATATTCAAACATCAGTGGCAGATGACTGGGTTGTCAGGGCTACCAATGTCTCCTGCACACCGTCTTCTCCAGCTCGGCGACACCTGTTCCACACAGCCACTCGGGACCTGTACAGCCCGTACATAACACAGTGGATTAAAGGGACCGCTGCTAGAGTCACCGAGAACACGAAGATGAGGGCATAGCCTGGGTCCTCCGTGTAGTTGAGTGCAGAATACACATAGGGTCGTCCTAGGTGGTTAGTTCCCCCTGTCGCCCAGTAGATGGCGGTGAACACCGAGTACGTCGTGAAGAAACACATGCCGACGTAGAAATGGTGAACTCTGATTGGATAGCGAGATATGTACAAGTCGAGGACGACAAGGCTGAGGTTGATGGCGTGGGTATTGACGGTGGTAAAATCCACGCCCGCACCTGCAACATATGGTGGAGACTTCAGGATAGTGAATAAATTATTGATGTATAAATTCTAGAGTTTTTCACCAAACTGAGATGAAAGCTGACTAAAACAATAATCTTGCAACCATGATATATTGCATGTTACATAAGGGTCCAGCGAGCAGGCAACAAACATCTAAACATCGTAAATATATGGCGTCAACACCAAACACATTCTCTTCCCACAGAGTTTACTCGTCATATCTTCCTACGAAGATATGACAAGTAACCTCTGTGGGAATTAAGAAAATGCGCCTAAGAATGGCCAGTTATGATTATCGGCCGACACAGATTCCACTGGGCGGAAAAGGCAAAATAATGGATCAGTGATGACTCCGGGGTTGCGCTGAAAGAGTAACAATGTCCTGCCCTACCGGAAGCACCTGTTACTCACACAGTTTGCCTTTGGACAATCAGTGTCAATTTTGTTGGAAAACTTTCATCTATGTGGGACCACCCGCAAGTCCAAGCTTGTGAATCAGGCCGCGACCCAGAAAGCAGTTTTATCATGATAACTACCGTTAGTCCGTGTGACCTCCCTCTGAGGTTCTAGGTAGCTTTGTGGAACGCCAATTCGTTAAAACACGAAAATATCAAATGTTGCCCGTTAAATTAATGATGTGCGTACTCATTCTGTTAATTCATTTGTACAAGGGCCCTGTGGCAACAGATGAAATAGACGTATTTCAGAGAATAACGACTGTAGAAGAATCACGATTTGATGTCATCATTTTTTTATATGTTCTGGGCATATATCTTATCCTTACTTAGTACTCCAACTTCTAAATGCCTCTCTGAGAAGTAATATCTGTGATATTCAGTGAGGAGCAGCGCTGTGCTGTATATAGACCTGTGCTATAATTCAGACCCAACTCTACAGGCCTTTCCAATAAGCTCTTACTCAGAAAGTTGGAGAATCTTCTGGGCTCTTTTTCTTAGGTATATAAGGGGAGCTAACTCTAACTGCTAATCTCATATTACACCTCATATTACAAGAAGACCAGCAATTGTGTGGAGATCACACTGACCCTGGTCTATATTGCTATTTTACATTGTTACAGTGACTTGAATATTACCATCTCCGTCTTTAGTGCTATAATCACTGCTTTTGTATTCTGCTGTCTGGGAATTTGTACTGCCACTCTATTATGTATTGCTACTGAAATGCCCGTGTTATGGCTTGTATCAATTTGTAAACTTAGTTAATTTTAGAATATAATTGGTAATTACATCACATTGGTTTGTTAGAGTTTTGCTATGGCTATTGGTTAACGTGGTAATCAACACGTAACAGTACCCTCAGCAATAGCACGTTGACTGAGTGAGTGAGTGAGTTGAGTCTTCATAGGCGGATCCGTTTGTGTGTGTGTGTGTGTCTCTGTGTGTGTGTCTCTCTCTCTCTCTGTGTGTGTGTGTGTGTGCAGGGGTGAGCAGCCCCCTTTTGTCCTGAAAATTTATTAAAAAATGACCCATATAAACGGGTGAAAATGAAGTGTGCACCCCTCCTTCTCAAAAGCTGTATCCGCCCCTGGTCTTGACATTCCTCTACACAGCGGTAGGTGGCGTCTTAGATCACTGGGCCACAGTGATTCGGTCGCTCAGTATAGGGCAGGAACGAACCTTGACTTTCAATGGTGCATGAGATGTGCATTTGCAACATTTACCTTGGTAAACCACCGTCCAGAAGAGCACGCACACAACTGGGGCGGTCGCACACGTCAGCGTCTGTAATATCCATTGTACTTGTAGTAGTCGGTCCGGCAGACGGAGACGATCTGTTGGAAGAAGAAATGTGACTTATGTAATATGTTTATGTTTGGGATAGGAGAGTACGTTGAAACGTATGCTTGGGAAACCATACTTAGGAGAATATCAAGGGAGACAATGGGTGTCTGCATCGACGTAACGGCTTGCCCCGCCGGAGTGACGGTCACGAAATCACATAGGTTGGGCTGCTCCAGACCATGATCACAATACTGGCAGAGCGTTGTCAAAGCTCATAATTATCACTCAGTCTCACTACTCCAAATCAAACCATCAGCGTCGACTCCAGGCCTTACACACCCCATGCGATCAAACCTTGGGAATAGGCCTATTAAAGAGTTGTCTCTGCGTTAATACACTAACACATATGTGAAATATAAACTACCTTTATCTTTCTGCCCATAGACATGGAGCCACACTGTGAGAGCCCGGATGAGGAAGCCGGTTGCCAGGATGTAGTATGACCAATATGTCAGCCAGATGAATATCTTTACCCCGTATTCATTGTTGATGGCCGTGTACACCACCACGCCGATGGTGTAGAGACTCACCAGGCTTCGGTACAGGGCGTATAGTACTGGCCTGTCAGTCCACTGTTAATGCATGAAGGATGAACATGTTACGGAATATGATATAATTTAACAAAGCCTCATATATCCATCTGTTTCTGCATATCTGTGATGAATATGTCAAGATTGATGGCAAAGCTACTAACCAATCCCAGTACTTGAAAATACCACGTGATTGTGTTTGTTAATTGGTTCTGCTATATTGCAATTGACATAAGACGGTAGCCTGCATATATTCCAGTCTGGACCAGACAATCCAGTGACTGATATCAGGAGCGTCGACCTACGCAATTGTGGCCTTCATGAGCCCAGTCGGAGAACGTGACCACGTGATAATCTCGCGATAACCTGTGCTTGTAGTATAAGGCAACTAACGGAATCGGCTGGTCAGGCTCGCTGACTTGGTTGACACATGTCATCGTATCCCAACTGCGTAGATCGATGCTCATGCTATTGATCACTGGATTGTCTGGTCCAGACTCGATTATTTACAGACCACCGCCATATAGCTAAATATCACTGAGTGTGGCGTTAAACAATAAACCAACCAACCTCTCACGATAAACTTGGGTTTCTTTTAACCCAGGTCGTCATGGGTGACCCTCTATTCTAGAAAAAACATGTCGTCCATCACTGACAAATTTCGTACTGTAACTGAACTGGCTGACCACTGACATCCTGGTATATATACCTGCACAAAACTGACTACGTCAATGAACATCGAATGCCATTCCAAACATCACAAGTATATCTTTACTGTTTGATAAATCACTGAACGGGTGGCCCAGTAGTCATGACTCCGCAATTCACTGTGCAGAGCTCCGTACCTAGAGCACGCCACAAATCTCTGACCGAATCCCGGTTTCCCCGTATCGTGTTTCTATGTTTGTTAGCACAATATCAGTTCTTAAAAATCCTGCATCACGTTCGGCTTCCCTCAAACATAAAGCTGGAATACCGGAATACTGCTCAAAAGGGGCCTTAAACCTATGCCACTCACTTACTCTCTAGTTCCAGGGGCGTAGGAACACTTTTTTCAAGACGAAACCATATCTACCTTACCATAACTACAATTTAATTTTGATTTTCAATACTTTTCATAAATTAGCCCCCCCGCTGTGAAAACCGTTTCTACGTTCCTGAGTTCGCACATCATTCAGCCCCATGGTAGTGTTGACTGTTCCGGTAGCCGCCCCCCAGTTCCCAGTGGTGGCTATTGCACCTGCATCGTTGTAAACATTGTGCCACATCAGATGCTGGCTAATAGATAAAAGTACGTTCACTGGTAAACACAATGTGTCCACAGTGTACTGGGATAACTACATTTATCTCACGTTAAACAGTGAGTGAGTGAGTGCTGCAACTATTGGCGGTGTGCCGACAGACCATGACATGTTTATAATGTGATCGACCTCGGCGGGACAGGATGATCTTGTGACATGAGCTGTGTACTCGCTGATGTCGTCAGTCAGCACATCCATGACACACAAGTTTTGATACATGTCAATCACTGATGTTTCGTCACCTACTGGTAACTGTACTTGCTGACCGTTCACATTTCCGTACATACATACAGCTGTACAACACTAACCGTGTGAACAAACGACATACACACAAGTACTTTTAGGTTTATTTTTCAGACATCGATGCAGTTCCGTTTGCGGAACTGCTTACCTTCGGCACGCCAGAAACATATGGTCTTAGGTTCGAATCCTAGTTGGCCCTGATAATGTTTCTATGCTTCCAGCACGACCCCATTGTGCGTTTCACCAAAGAAGTGAACGCCTACGACTTGCACACTTTAAGCTTACCTCCCACATCAAGATGACGTGCAGTGCTATGATTAGAATGTTTTTCAAAGCGACCTTAAACCCAACTCCAACTTTATTTTGTATGTAGTTTTGGGGTTGTTAGTTGTCTAATGCCGCACCCGGCAATATCGCAGCTAAAGTACGACGGTCTGTAAATAACAGAGCCTGTGCCAGACAATCCAGTGATTGTTACATCGAACATTGATCTGCGCAGTTGATATACGATGACTTGTGTCAACCAAGTTAGCGAGTCTGACCACCCAATTCCGTTAGTCACCTCTTACAACAAGCATGGGTAGGTGAAGACCAGGTTTCATAAACAGATAGAAATTATAACATTATATCGCTCCGTAACATGTAATCATAATCAATCTCAATTGGATTTGTTATACCTTCTATATGTTCTGACTACCCAATGACCGTTAGCATGCACGTATTACTTCCGGTTTCATACACGATACATTGACTGCAGCTTCCGCTGGTTGTCCACGAACGTCCGACCCTACTCCCCGCTGTTCTTGTGGGGAGCGTCCTGCACTTGTAATGAGCGAATCAATCAGGAAGAGCACCTACACCAGCATCATCAATGACGTGGTGGCAGCAGTGTTTGTCAATATGTAATTGTTTCACCAACACAATAATGAATAAGCTTTAGCTCAAATTATATATCACCCTTTAATGTATGGAATGTCTATACAAATTTACATGTTTCGATGGTTCAATCGAGGTTAGTTGTCTATATCGTCCACCCCCATTTGAGTTATAGAGGGACATTTATCTAAATACATAGAAATAAAGACCTTTTTCCTGATTTCCTCATACATATAAAGTGCACAGAAGGCACAGTTAACCCAATGTGCCACTACAGTTTAAAAAGAATAGAGTTAATTAATTCTAAGTTTTTAGAAAAAAATATATGTATACATGTATTTGATTACGATATTATTTAATAGAGCGCCGAAACGTTCCATAGCAAAATGATGTTCTAAATGGGCATTGTGTATTCAATACGCTTAAACTCAAATCCTATCCCGCTCCCCATTAATCAACCTAAAGATTTCCCCCTCATAATGGGTGGATTTGGTTGGGTGTGGTCGAATTAGACGTGTAGGGGTGGTCGAATTATTCATCCTCTCCAAAGATTACTGTACCATCGATCTACGTTGCAAAATGCGAAAGCTTTTCTTTATCTTGATTGCGTTACACCCAAAGCTCGCGCGCTCCATAGAATACCACACATTCCACGAATATAATCGGTTGATCCATTTCGAGCATGCGTTTATTGGTCAATGATCTTGATTTACGGGCGCTTTTCAAAGTTGTGAGTATTTAATTGGGCGTGTGTAGTACCACCTAATACCACGCTATACAGTGTGTACACGTGTACCTATAGATATGGGGGTAGGAGAGTTTCTGTTGAGAAGGGCGAGCTGTCGTGACAGGTGGCGAAGGTGTGATATGTTGGTGTAATCTGAGAGCAGATGGCCAGTTAGACAACCAATAACTCGACGTTAACACAAAAAGTTCAAAGTCCAGTCCTCCTCGCACAGCGTGAGATGACACTGATTGTCGTCTGCTTTTTCGCTATTTGTGAAAACTTTATTCAGATATCGATTAAGATATCGATTGAGGAATGACCACATCTAACGAGAGAGAGAGAGAGAGAGAGAGAGAGAGAGAGAGAGAGAGAGAGAGAGAGAGAGAGAGAGAGAGAGAGAGAGAGAGAGAGAGAGAGAGAGAGAGAGAGAGAGAGAGAGAGAGAGAGAGGTGTGTATGTGTGTGGAGGGCTCGTCTAAGGGGATATATCCTGCATGTATTTCAAGCCCTAACTTCTCATATATTCATAGAATATATTAGATAGTTGCGTAAATTAGATGTGATATGATGACAGACAGCTGGATTCTGATGTCCTCAGCGTCACCTTCTTGTTGTATAACTAGCTATATAGTTCTATCATGAATACTATAGTATTCTCTGACGAACTACCAACCATTACTCTTCTACTGCAGCACTCAACTCCTTCTTCCCATGCAATCACCATGTACATCTTCTTGCCACTAACTACATGGTATAATCCACTTCACCTCCGCCCTCCCCATTCTCCCCAACCACGACAACCGCCACTCTCCTATTATTCTTTAAGTATTCATTTCTCTTACATCTGTCATGGAAGCTTCTTACTATGACAAATGCACATTCCTGTGAAATAAAACACGCAACCTGAAAACTATGACAGTTGTAAATTAAGTGTCAGTTGACAACTCCATCTCTGGGTTGTCTGGTTTTATACTTCATTCTAACCCCATCTGTATATTTGTCAGTTGTGAATCGTGTGTATTTCCGTATTTTTATATCTGAATTTGTCATTTATCTTTCTGACCCATATTGCCCCGCTGATTACACCCAAAACGTTTCTATAACCTGACAGCTATCATGTATACGCTCTTATCGCACGCACTAGACAGTGTAAATAATGTAGAAATGTCGTCGAGATGTCTAGCTGCTCTTCTTAATACCGCTCACTGCATGTGTACATACACTTATTATTACATGACAATTCTTTACATTCTGGACTCTGGGAAAATGGATATATTGATGGTGTGGATACCAGTATGTGCAAGTTGAAATGTATAACTGTATATGGATTTTCTTCTTATCGAATGTCTAAGTGGAACACAGGTTTGATGGATTGCAGCAAACACTATTTCCATTATCCACTCCACACGGGTACAGTACGGTCAAATAGTCAATAATTCATATGTCATTGAATCTATTCATATCAATATATGTAACTGACAAGAGGTGACAATTGTAAGTTGACCGTTGAAGCAGTATGTATACACTTATATCAATATCGTGTATATAGACTGAAAAAAGGAAGCAAGCTTGATTTAGTTCAGTCCACACCAACTTGCTATTTTACCGTATATTGCATAGCAATAACTACAAAAACAGCTACAACTATTAGCTATGCACTGTTACATACCCCTGATTCTAATATAAGTATTGATTTACCTGAGACAAGACGAATTCTGTTTTTCTCTGTTCTTCTATATGAAATCCAAATAATTGTCTGTGACAGTGACAAGCACATGCCGATCTTCTCTCCATTTGCTCGGAAATGATGGTATAGTCAGTTAAAACCACGCTGACTTTTTAACTCGCTGAGTGGACCCTCTTCTCTGTAAGGAGCTCTTTTACACTGACAGTGTAGAGGCGTAGTGCAGAGCTCTCAGTACGAGTATCATATGGATCCGTTTCTTATAAATCAGTGTACTAACAGGATGGAAATTGACAACTGACGTCAGGTAGTCATCACATGGAGGAGATATATGAGGAAATACGGATGTAAGCAAATGACATCGTATGAGAACATTAGTACGTCAAATTGTTCTCTACACCATCACTTTAGATCCATTGTCTGTGCTTATATATTTTAAAATATATATAAAATAACATCATTTTTAATTATTAGTATATAATTTCACATACACTAATAATTCATGATTTGACATTATACGACTGTAACTATAGAACCAAATGGACATTTCGACATAACTTGAACAAATATTTAAATATACCGTCCATTGTTTTTATGTTTGAAATAAATACTTTGTGTTCTGCACGTGTAAACCAATTTATCATCCAAAACTGTGTTCCACGGGAGAAAGTAAATTTTGTACAATGCCCTGACAATGCTATGACGTCATCAACTTGATGACGTCACAATGCTATGACATCGCTGCACTGCAAGTTTAATGGTAGTACAGTGTTAAGAGATGTACATTTTTCATTGAAAACTAATGAAGAATGATTTTTGATGATAAATAGAATCTCACCCTCGTGTCTACTGATATCAATTACATCAACACTCGTTGATGTAATTGATATCAGTACTGGGATTTCCCGTTTTTAAGCCCACTCACAATTACACATGGGCCTAAAATAGGATGTCAAATTTTATTGTTTAGAGTGACGTCCCTTTGCAACAGCACCTGGCGAACTTCAGCATATATAACGTTTGTAGTGCACGTTTGTAGTGCAGTTACTGAGTTTTCATGTTTACATGTTACATGCAGTCCCAAGAGAGGTCGGGTACTCTATACCCATATAGACAATTTCAATCCATATGACTCACGAGCAGTCGCAATAAAATATGATAATAACATAGGACACGTTCCTCAAGAACAGTAAAGTATGTAAATATAAAACAGGGGGTGTCATCTTGTGAGAAATTGTCGAAGAATCAGGTTTCTGCATTATTACGTTTATAAGTTCATTCCATTTTATTGTGTCTTAGTATCATTTTCCTCAGTTACAAGCATTTCCCGAATTTAAGCTCTGGGCTTAATTATTGGTTTTTATTTGTGTACGAGAAGGCTCATTTTCCGTTATTAAGCCCAGTTACTGAAGTGTCTCGTCCAGGCTCAATTATTTACAGACTGTCGTTATATAGATCAAATGTTGCAGAGTGCAGCATTAAACAACAAACAAACAGAAAAAAAGGTTCTGATTGGTGTGGATCTGGTCAAGCTGAAGACACAATGGTGAAGTGAATAGACCGCGGCGTTCGGTTTACTCCCAAAAGTTAGACGTCCCAAAAGTCACACATACCAATTGTCAGACAAATCAATCAGGCGCGACTGTGATTACAACCTAGTCTTACCCACTGATATATTGAACCTGTCCCATACACTAACGAGATGTTTTTCACATTTGTATAGAAATACTTTGATCAGAATACTAATGTTGACTGGCTTACTCAATCACTGGGTTCTCCAAATGTGTTTTCACAATGTACTTACACATATACTTAAGAAGTCTAAGAAAAGCTTTTCTGTGCATGTATAATAATATTAAATCATGTGTTAACATAAGTAAATCCTACTCGGACTATTTCTTCAGTCACTCTGGAGTAAGACAAGGAGAAAACTTGTCACCGCTACTGTTTTCAATTTTTATAAACGATTTAGAAGAAGTCCTACTATCTCATGGTTCCGAGAGTATAACCATCAACTTTAAACTAGATAATTATATAGACCAATGTATTACGTTTCCGTTATTGCTATATGCTGACGACACTGTACTAATGAGTGACAACGCAGTTCTTTTACCAAAAAAAAAATTAGGTAACTTCGCAAGTTATTGTCAACAATGGAAGCTTAATGTTAACGTCTCAAAAACTAAAATCGTCATATTTGGCGGAAACCTCGCATCTAAATCTAAATACTCTATTTCTCCTGGGAATCATGAAATAGAACAAGTTTATTCTTATACCTATCTTGGTATTACCTTTCATAGAAACAGGAAAATGAACAACGCTATAAAACAACTATTAAATAGTGCAACTAAGGCTAAGTTTTTATTACCGAAACGAGCTCGTAACATATATTTACCCCTCGACTGTATATTAAAAGCTTTTGATGTGATGATTGTACCAATACTACTTCATGGGTGTGGAGTCTGGGGATACGAAAATGTAGCTGCTATTGAAAAAGTTCATCTTAAGTCTGAAATTGGCAACTGGACTTAGAAACTCCACTCCAAGTTTTATGTTATATGGAGAACTTGGTCGAATGCCTCTGGATATCGTAATTTACAAAAGAATGATTAGTTATTGGCACAAGCTAGAACTAACAATTCTTCCTGTAAAAATGTCCAAACTTGTTTACATACTCTGTAAACTGGGAACAAAATTATCTTGTTAAATTACATATTTTGTTTTTATGCCAAATAAAGTCATTACAAAGTCATCCATCGATCGTTTAAGTTATCTTGTTGAATTAACTTATTTTGTTTTATGTCAAATAATGTCATTGTCATTATCCACAATATCTTCTCTTTGTGTTTGGATTAGTACATTTGGACTCGTCCATGAATTAACGATGGTAACAGTGTAGTGAACCCCAGTGCCACCAACCATAACCTTTGTTTTAACGCGTCTAACTTTTGGGAGGACACCCGGCGTTCAAGGGTGTTGCACATATACAGCGTGTTTGCGCGTACACGTATATTTTCTTGTATAGTCCGATCCCGATCAAGTTTATATGGCGCTAGCCTACTGAGATACCATGCCGGGTTTCAACACAAATATCCCACCCAGACAGGAGCAGAGAATCAACCCACGGACCTAGCTTCCGCTTTCCAGTGAAGTCCTGGATTCGAAATACTATGATGACACAATGGACACAACCCATGCATACTGTCGCCGACAGCACATTTCGTAACTTAACCGCTTTAGCGCTGACTTACGGCATCACCAGGGAGAGCATGTGATTCGAACCCACGACCATATATAAATAATTGAACAATAGTATTTTGTGTTTGTACAGGTAATCTTTGTCGGCGGATCAGACAAAATTAGTCTACTCATCATAGTTTTCCGACAAGAAGAAAATAATGAAATTGGTAAACAGTTTTCACTGTCATCTAGGTTGTCGGTGGATTAAAATATATTAGTCTACTCAGCGAAAACAGGTTGCACCGAGTTTTTGTGAATTTTAATTAGGAGTGAGTGAGTGAGTTTGGTTTTACGCCGCTTTTAGCAATATTCCAGCAATATCACGGCGTTTTAATTAGGAAGTGGTGAGCTGTTTTGATTCATACTGTGTGTATATTGAAGTGTTTTGTTAATTACTTTGTCGGTGACCCACCTTATCCTTCTTCTCTACTGCTACTTCTCTGCTGGTCTGCGTAGTTGAATGTTGATAAATGATGTTTTTTTCATCACTGATCATACTTACCTAATATATATTTGTTTTTATTTCACAAAACTCAATTCAATATATTAGCGGCCTGGAAGTCGTCCCATAGGCGGAAGAATTTCTCGGACCTGGCCCGCGGTGAAACATGTTTTTTTTCATCACCGATCATACATACCTAATATATTTTTTTTATTTCACAAAACTCAAACACTTTTGATTTACACTATATCGATTTTCATCATCAGTGACGTCTGCGAACCCACCGCTCAATCCGCCAACAAATCCACCGGATTTCCGTCTACGAACCGTCTGGTCTACGAACCAGTCTGGTCTACGAATCGCTAGAATTACCGTATCGCTAAACGTGTTTGTCACAAAACATATTTTTGGAATCAATGACATGGTTAACGTAAAATGCATTTGAGTAATATGTATTTATATTGAATTAATATAACTATTCATTAATATACTGCAATTCATAAAACAGCCATGTGTTACCAACTTTTCAAGTTAATGTTCTATTCATATTTAGCCACATTGACTGTCATTTCCCTTTTCAATAAAAGTATGTAATTCCAAATTATAATATTTTTGTTTGTTTAATTTGTTATTTATTTTCTAAATACATTTGTTCTGCTTCAGCAATATTTTGTAACTATTCCAAATTAAAAACTATTTTGTACATATTCAATATATTTATATTTGTTAGGAACTATTTGAGATCAAATAGTTTCTAACAAATATCAATATTGATATGTACAAAATAGTTTTAAATTTGGAATAGTTACAAAATATTCAACAGAGACAATTGGCTTTATGCAATGTAAAATGCATGTGTATAAATACTTTGAGGTACTAATATAAATACTTTGTAAACTAGTTGGTAGGCTTAATAATTTTACTCTTTTCCAAGTCCAAGGATGACTTTATGCCAGTTCAGGTGACAGAATGACTCAAAGATACATGAAATAAATTGTTTGTTGTTTTGCAAATGTGAAAGAAAATGCATTATAAATTTTACTTTGGATAGATGACAGGGATCTGCATGTGTCAAATTGTTTCTTTGCCATGCTGTAAATATACTGATAATGATATATTGAATACAGGGATTGGGATGGAGACCTTCGACATTTTAACGATTATTAGCCATTTTCTGAATTTAGAATGGGCCACTGCCCTTGTATCAATAGTAAACTTCAAAATTTTAATGGGGCATTTTATTCTAATGTGCAAATGGCCACTGTCTTTCCCAATGCCTGGAATAAATAGCAGTTCTTGTAACATTATAATTTTTTTATAAATATATGAACTTTCCCATTTATGGTGACGTTTTTATTCACACAAGAAGTCATAGTGTCACAAATCAATCAACAGCTCGACAAAATAACCTTTGATGGCATGGTTACAATTATTTCGGGTTACTACTGTCAGATATTCAAAACAAAAATGTGAAAACCCTCAGCCATATGAATATTCATCATGAAGCAATTATTTATCAAATTATGTAAACATTATTTTAGAGGTGATTTATAAAAACTGGTTGTTGCACAATATTTATTACACTTTGTACTGGATGTCTTGGAGTGAGTGTACAATGTACTATGATCTAAAGTACATGAGTGTTACTTGGTTCTTGGTTATGCAGGGGTGAGGTTCTGCTATGCTGTAAGCAAAATATGAAGCAGCACACAGCACCTTCAAGTCACAATTGGCAAAAATGCAAGACCAAATACACTCAAAATTTGGAGTAATCACTCAAAGACATTTCCTGTATTGTAAAATATACTGATGAATACATGGGGAAATTAAAGGTGCATATATACTATGTCATGACAGTAGATTCTGCAGACACTGGCTGATAGCAGCATGAGTATGATTACTTGTCATGTAATATAGTGTTTTTCACCCATATTTAGTAACTTACATATTCCAAATATTCTGCCAATGAGGCCAAGGTTGGTAACTGGCATTCCATATTTTCCACTATACAGTTAGACCAATATGTTTTAAAATAATGGAAAAGAATAATGTGTACTGGTTATTGTGCTATGAACCAGTGTTGTAATCTTACAGCAAATAAAAACAAAGAATTTCATATTTCAACAAAATTCCATGTCATGTAGAATCATATGCCTATGCCATTGATTAAGTTTAACTTTTCATTGGAAAGCATGTTTTTTCATGGAAACTGGAGTAGTAGGGTAACCTAGTGGTTAAACTGTTGACACTCGTCACACTGAAGGCCCGGGTTTGATTCCCCACATGTGTGCAAAGTGTGAAGCCCATTGCTGCTCTCCCCAGCATTATGTTGCTGGAATATTGCTAAAAGCAGTGTAAAACCCATTCTCTCACTTGGAAACCTTTGCTATCTACACTGAAAATCTAATCTCCTACATCCATCGTTGTATATTTACTGTCAAATCAATATCATGGCTAAAAGCAGAAATCTTCCAAACCATTCAATTTGTGCTTGCTTTATCCACACTTAAAAACAATAAACAAGTTTTAGAACTATTCTGCAAGTTTATTCCAAAGACATAATTACTCATAACATATCAAACATTCTTTGCATTTTCCAGATGCTAAACCTGAAAAATACTGTACCAGTATCATCTGGAATACAAATGTTCTTTCATGGTCACTCATCTAAATTCTCACTGAATTATCTGAGAGTCCCAAGATGTCACAAGACTTTCCAAAACACCTTGCTGGTTACAAGCATTTCCTGTTCCAGCAAGTTTCCAAAGGATGATGTGTAGGCTTTAATATGTTTTATAACTGTACATACAACATTTCAATGACTTGTTGTTTCTTCATTGCAATGTATATTGCTTTGACCACCAGATGTTAAAAAGAAATCTGAAGATCTGTTTCAGTTTTGTTGCTCTTGATGTCAATGGTACTTGTGGTGATAATGAAATCTATTCCTCCTTCTTACTCCTCTTAAAGATGTGCATCTGTTCAAACTGAAAAATACATAACACACGTTAGACCAAGTATGATATACTTAATAAAATGTAAACACTAAAACAGTTCCTTACAATGTTGACATCAAGATATTATTGATAAATTAAGCATGTGGATGTTATGTTTAACTGAACATGCTGCACCATAACCAAATGCTAAATGGGGTTGTAATAATATATTAATCAAGCTCATATTACAGAATACATTTGTGAGAGACACCTATTCAGAGCTATTGGTATCAATCAAAGTGTGGGTATAATCATCATTGTTTACGCACTATTAAATTATTATTTAATTCATTACATTTATTTTTAGAATTACACCTGGATTTTCATTGCACATAAAGTTATCTTCTAGATAATTCCAACTGCAAGATACTTTATTTCTTTAGCAGTCCATAGTCTGTTGCATCCGCACAGCCAGTGTCGAGTATGATTATCCACGGCATACCCCATGTAACAGTGTTATCGCGCAACGTTGTTTGTCACCGAAGAGCTCATCTCGGCTCTATGAACGCGGGCCATTCGGAAAGTTTTAGGTGTTTTATACTGTAATGAAACATCATTAAGGCTCCTTACAAATGTGGCATACAACTAATGCCCACCTATAAAATTGCAATGCAATGGTTTCTAATACTCGCCTATAGTAGTATATCGATTTATTATATTCTTAAGGGTGAAATACTGTAAATATTGGTGAAAATAAAAATGGTATTTCCACTGAGTAGAATAACATGTTATTTCACTGAGTAGAATATCACTTTTGCCTGGAGTGAGTGAGTGAGTGAGTTTAGTTTTACGCCGCACTCAGCAATATTCCAGCTATATGGCGGCACTTTTGTCTGGAACTCAAGGGCTAGACTGTAGTTGGGTTGCGTAATAAAATGCAGACTTACTCGATGTCTCGATCATTCATAAACAATGATCAAAATATAATATACAGAATATTTTGTAATGTTGTCAATTAAGTATATTTGATCTCGTGGTTTGACAAAGTTGACATGTTCACTCGTCAGACCACTCGATATTTAGAAACATTGACGGATCTATTCATCTTACCTACAAAATAAAGTCCAAGAATACCGTATGTTATGACCATATCCTGCACCCATTTATAGCGTATGTTTCAATACTTTTCTTTCTAACTATGTTCCAATTTTAATAGCTTTGCACCTGCTGTCAAACTGTTAAAACATCCTTTCGCGAGCATTCTGACCGGAAGCTGGTGAATATAACACAACCAAAATAAGGTCATTCTAAAAATAGCCGTCACATGATGAAACATGGCGGTGCACACGAAAAGTAGACGTGAATGCAGACTTCTGCTTATTCTATCGTCTGTTTACTTATTTTGTTTAATTCGTGCAGATGATTGTTTCGTACCAGGATATGACATGGCCAATCTGACTGATGCCAGGTAAATCAACATGTTTGCAGTCATGTTCATTGGTTCTAGCTGGCTATTTTCGCTCACTCTGACACTCACTCAGTTGGCCGAAACTGACGGAAGTTTTGATATAGACGGTTGTTCTAGGACTTTTCCCTTGCTTTTGACTTATTTCGCATAGCATTGTATAGAATATAGGTCGGATGTCGGGTGTCTACTAAGAGACACGGGATATCTCACGGGATACTCGAAAACCTCGACTCTGGGGCAGATTCACTCACTGACTGAGTGACTCAGCTTGTATTTGCTATCAACAATATGATCAAGGAATATATTACGTAAAAATCTCCATTTAGTTCCGGCTTTAGTTCATGTTATCGTCAGTTGGATTTGTTCAACCATTTCAGTTATGCGGCAGGGTCTAATCCTAACATAAGTAGTGAAATGAAGCTCTACAGACACCTCTTTGACTCATTAGCTTTAGTCAATACACATCATTCTCACTCAAACTGTGCTTATGAATATTATGCCTTTCTGTATCCTAACCATTAGGTAAATATGGACTCAGTATACATGTATGTCATAGTGCCTGTGGTCCTGTCATAAGGTATAGGCAACCTTTGAAAGCTTCTTTGCATATCACACACGCACGCACGCACGCACGCACGCACGCACACACACACACACACAGAGTTCGGTCTCCATGTACTGTGTTTATCAATTCAGCATAAGTTGAATTACGAATTAAAAATTTCATTTCATCCTTCACCAAATATTCCACCATTCATTGCAAAAGTTATTCCACACAAAGAAAAGAAAATCCTAAATGAAACTTTTTACCCTAACCCTGTATATTTTCATTAGATAATGTTTGGAAAACTATGATGTGAATACAAAGTGATGCCAGATGCTATTTTGTGTCACTGTATGTACCATTTGTATTAACACTCAGAATGGCAGATGATAGTGTGGTACCCAACAGTATAGGTAATCATGTAGGTTGTTTTTGGTAAGTGTAGAGTTCTATCACTGAACACTGTGGTTTATTTTCAGTTCATGGACATTCAGCAGCAACAAGACAAACTGCCTGTCAAACGGAACTGTTGTGGACAGCTGTGTGAATGAGATGACTTTCTGCAAAGCCTTGACAGGCTCCAAACATTGCCAGGATGCTAGTGTTTGTCAAGTCAGTGATGGCAAAGAATACAAACTGGCTGGTTTCTTGTTTAAACCATTCATAAAATTACCTGATCGTGAGTATGTCCTAAAACCTTACTTTGACCTTGTGAACCGTTAGTGTTGTTCTGGTAATTCAGTCAATGTCATCATTTCATGCATGCAATACAACCGACTAAATTCTTTGTCTATACGGGGCAGTGGGGTAGCCTAGTGGGTAAAGCGTTGGCTCGTCACGCCAAAGACCCAGGTTCGATTCCCCACATGGGTACAATGTGTGAAGCCCATTTCTGGTGTCCCCTGCCGTGATGTTGGTGGAATATTGCTAAAAGCGGCGTAAAACCAAACTCACTCACTCACTCACTTTTTCTATACCTAAACTGAAAATATGTCTTCTCATAAGCACCATTGTTGTCAGAAGTACAGTTTGTAAGCTTAACCATCTTTGTCAGCAATACATTTCTTTTTAGTTCCTCTGCCAAAACATCTGGGATAAACTTTAATTCAGTACAAAGCTGTGTGCATGTTACGTCTATGTTCAGCTCACTCACTTGCATTTGGTTCTCAGCATCTCTTGGGTTCAGGACTAACTTCCCTCTTGGAGATGAGTATACCCACAATAAGACTTCCTGTAAGCTGAACACCACCATCAACTTCCGGTGCAACTTACTGAAGCCTTGGCCGGAAGGTGAAAGTGGAAGCAAGCAGAAAGTTCCATATGAACCAGAAATTCTGTTCCTTCCTGATAAATGCCTGGTAAGTTATACTGGAAGTGAATATACCTACAGTCAAATGTCCTTGTTATCAACACACTGCTTGCTCTATGTTTCAGGCCAATATATAAACTACAAATGTTTCCTTGTGGCTGTATGTGTGTGAAGCCATGGTACTGACATTGATGAACACATTTTATCTTGAAAAGTGTGGTTGTGGGATTATTTGCCACTACCATCAGTAGGTGTGTACTGTGGAAACATTGTCTCAAATTCTGATGAGTCATATCTGTGGCTTTGTCCAGGCAAACTTATTCCTTATCTTATCTCTACTTTATTGCTTTTGTCATCTGGATGTAAAACATTCCTTGTTGTCTGGAGCACACTTTTCTCCAAAGTCCCCAATAACTTAAACTAGAACAAAATGCTTTAGCCGAGCAGAACTTATAACAAGTTAGAATTTATGTATAGGTTAAAGCACGAGGACTTGGTCTCTAATGGTTGAAATTGTTAGTTGCTCTAACTAACAATTTCAACCATTAGAGACCAAAGTCCTCATGCTTTAACCTATTTAAAGCATGGCATATACAAATCAAGGATCAATCTTTCATTAGAATCATATATTTACGGATACATTTATTAAAACCTTCGGAACTATTTTGTTGATTCCTATGACAGCTGAATGTGTATAAGGAATAGAGGCATTTTGGGCTCATTGAACATTTAACAGAGCCCTAAATGAGAACTATAAAAATGAGCAGCAAGAAATGCATGTGCATTTCATGCAGACTCTATCATATTTTATACGCATTCAGTGGCTTGTGAACCAACAATTTGGGCCCTTAACGAGAACCATAAAAACGCAAAGCACGATGTGCTCGCCAGCATTCGACATTCATGTGCTCGGGTGAAGTCATGTCGGATGCTGAGTCAGACGAACTAATTACCTCATCCCAAAGTGTTTTCACTTCACAAAATGAGTTTAATTCAAGTGACGATGAACTGATTAGTAGTAGCTATGACGCAATGGAACTGTCGCAGAACAAGGTAAATCAGTTACCACATTACAGTGATGTTAGCGATGATGAAGTGTCTTCAGATTTGATAATTGTTGATACAACTGACTATGTCAATGCTTCGTCAAGCACGTCGAACAATTCTGTACCAAGGGAACGATTTACTACTCTGAAGACAACGAAATAGCCAATTTGTCTAAAAGTAAGCTTCCAGAACGAACGAAGAGCTCGTTACGCTGGGCGTGGAGTTTATGTGAAACTTGGAGGGTGAGCAGAAACCGCAATATTATACAAGGAAATACACATGGACAGAGGTGAAGCGTTATTAACCATAAACTGGAAGAGCTCAATGCTGATGAGCTGAACTACTGTCTGTGTAGGTTTGTGTCGGAAGTTTGCAAAGTAGATGGAAGCGAGTACCCACCAAAGACATTGAGGCAACTTGTCTTGTACATTCAAATGCATTTGGGCAATTCAGGCAGACTTGTGAAACTGTTATCGGACAAGATATTCATTGAACTTTGTAGTACGTTGGACAGTGTTATGAATATGGAATACCGTAAAGGCACTGGTATGCGTACAAGACAAGCAAACGTCATCACTTTCGAACAAGAATGTATCCTGTGGGACAAAGGTATTCTGGGTTCATTGGATCCTTCCACTTTGGTTGATACAATGATGTACCTTCTTGGTTTAAATTTCGCACTAAGGAGCGGAGACAAACATCGTCATTTAACTGTTGATCAGCTTGAGATTGGTGAGAATGAGCAAGGGGAATACTCATGATATTCTGACAAAAGTTAGTAAATGCTTTCAGAGAGGGCTGAAGGACTTTAACGTCGAGCCGAAATCTGTAATGGCTTGTGCTAATCCGACTGAACCAGACAAGTGTATTGTAAGAATATTCCGACAATACATGTCTCTTCGTCCAAAGAACGCTCCAAATTATTTGTATTTACGTCTGCTTGTGAAACCAAGAGATGATCAGTGGTTTAGTGTTCAACCAATAGGGAAAAGTACACTCAACAGACCATTGGGAGGATATGCAGAAGTGCAGGATTTCAAGGTAAATTGTCTAGCTACATATTTACGATCATTCATGACCGTTGCATGTGCAGTGTTTCGTGGAAAAACGCTCTAACATTTTGAAAGAAGGTGGGGAGGGGGTCGGCATCTTGCCTGTAGAAGTAGTAGAAGCCCAACTAATATGGGAAGCATTGTCTGTCTTTCTGTGCACACCTTAAGGAAGTGCGGTAAGAGTTCCTTACGTACCCCCCACCTAATTTAATTTTTTTTTTACAAAGATATACAAGTAATGAAAAGTACCTTATAAAATAGGCGTGGGGTACGTAAGGAACTCTTTCCAGAAGTGCAAATGAGAAAATCCTTTGATGTTTGGTAACAAATAGAGATGGCGATGAATTTGAATCCTAGTCATGGCGTGTCTGTAATTCTAAATGGCACTGAGCATGAACAAAAGCCTTTGTAAATGCGGGTTTATGTAGTCTTTAAGTGATACCGACAAAAGTCACGATATACATTTTTGGTTTTTGATGATACACTTATGTGGTTCATAATTCTTAAAATGCAATAGTTGACAAGCCACGTGGTTTTCCTGGTATTTGTAAAGTAGCAGCTAAGAAGAATATATTTTCAGTTTGAATGCACTAGGTTATAACAATGTTTCTTTGCAGGATTCTACAGCAACCATTCCCTCCGGGCGACGTGCGCCACGAGATTGTATCAATCTGGAGTTGACGAGCAGCTAATTGCCAAGACAACCGGCCACAGGAGCAATGCAGTGAGAAAATATAAACCGAGCAGCACTGAACAGGAAGCAGCTGTCAGTGACATCATTCAAGGGAAGAGATTGAAAGTGGAACCAAAGGCCGATGCTAGTGACCAGTGTCAGTGGAACAACTACTGCAAATGATGATGTTCACATTTCACTGAATGTTGTCGTGAATAAGTGATTTCGGTTCATTCTGTAATCCCTGAATAAAGTGTGTGAAAAGGCATGTTTGTTGTTTTTTAAAGTAGTTCCGTCCGTACTTTTACTAACATTTTGGTTAGTTACAGCATGGCCACAAACAAAGAAGCTATGCTTTAAATGAATTATAAACAGTGATAAAGAACTAAACCTTTCATGATTTGAAACAATATGTAGTAAATTTGCATTTTGTTGTCGGATGATAAAGCCAGACAGCAAGCACGGTAAGAAGATTAAGGGGAATGTTTTAAACCCCAGATACCTTGAACTATTGCTCTTATCCCTATTAGTTCAAGCCAGTGGGTTCAGTTTTATCTGAAATGTTAGCATCAAGAGGCTTAATTTTAAACTTATCCTATCTCACGATTTGCACTTCTCTCTCTTGCCTCGACGCTGAGTGGAACGAAGTAGAACTTTCCCTGGTAGGTCTCTCTTGTCCATACGCCCGTGTTCCCCAGGCTGCTCTCCTTATAGGACAGGTCCCTGGTCCCATGCTGAGCATGCAGCATGCTCCCCTATCTACCCACGTGACTCTCTCAGAGTGATCATTCTTCTTCTTGTCGCACGATAGAGTGGACGCGTTATAGCTCTTGTCATAGAGTTTTGAGTTGCTTTTTGTATTATGGGGAAATCAGATCCTCCAAATAAAAAGCGTAAGTTTTGCGCTCAGTGTAAAACAATATTTTCGACTTGGGACCCACACATTTCATGTGTTGAGTGTGTGGGTCAATGTTCTTGGGAGAAATGGGTTGTGATGGGAAATGTTAAGCCAGGGTTATATACTGAGGATTTCAAGGCTTATAAACAGTCAGGTCTGTGCTGAGAATTGCAGATAGGGCTGGGAGGAATACCTGAGAAATTGACCAAGGCCCCTGAGGACCAAGAAACCACGTCTGTGAGCATCCCACCCTCACGGGCTAGGAATACCTCTTTGAAATCACCACCCCGAGGGGAGGATTTTTTTTATGCTTCTTCAGATTCATATCTCTCGGAAGAGGTACGAAAGCTTTTTGGGATGCTTCCTTCACCTGGTTCAACATCTCAGGCCGGTTCTAGGGTAGTTGTGGTTGATAAACCTCTAGTGTCTACAGCCTCCCCTGACCTGCGGTCTACACTCTTGGTTTCTAGGGCCTCTGATTCGTTTCAGACCGTGACTACAGTCGCTTCGGTTCATCAATCTGCATCACCTGCGTTACCAAATGAGTCCGTTTCTCCAAGTCATTCTAGACGATCCTGTTCGATTCATCGATCTATCTCGTTGGAACGTTCCAGTTCTGCTAGTTGTTTGAGATCACCTCACGGGTTTGTCTCGAATCCATCTTGTAGATCGATTGAACGGTCATGTTCACCCCAGCAGAGTGGTGCTTATCGTCGATCTGTTTCTATTGATCGTACCGAATCACGTATTGATTAGCATGGTGGTTTCGGCACTCCCTCCCATTTGGATTCGCGCCAGCGAACTTATTCACCAGGTTGTAGAGATTTGGGTCAATGGATATGTTCACCTTTTCGTGATGGCTCACGTCGCTGAACCAGTCAGTTCACCGTTTCGTTTCACCTAATCATTCCATGACGTTTTCTCGAACCACGACTTCTGGGCGAATTGATTCACGGGATCGAATCGATTCGTCTACCCGAACCATTTCACCTCACCGATTTGGTTCGTCTGCTCATCCCGGTTCACGCCACATAACTGCTTCCTCAGATCGAAGTGGTTCACATATTTGTTCTGGGAGTTCTCCCTGGACTTGATCGCTTTGGCGTTCAGGTTCACCTCTAGGTCAAGGTCATCCCACCTATAGCTCTAGGTCATCCCATTGGGATGGTGTGCCAGGCTCTTCTAATCGTTCTAGTTCCTTGGACCGTCGATCTGCTTCACGTCATACTGATTCTTCGGTTCATACTACTGGGGCGACTATTTTCCCTGAATCGTGGAACCCTACCCAGGATTCCTCTCAGGGGCCAGACTTGAATACAATGCTTCGGGCTGTAACAGTAGCATGGAATCAATGTCAACCTTTGACTACTTCGAATTCAGTTCCCGTTCCATCGACTGGTAACCAGTCTTCCTCTGGTATGTCTCATCAGCATTCGTCCTACTCTCCAAATAACTCGGATATTTCTACCCCGGAGGGTAGTTTCGATTTGGTAGAGCCTTCACATGTACTTGTCTGGATTGTTGAAAAGCTTCAACTGCCGGTGAGCAGATCCCCGGATGACCTTAATGTCTCTTATGAGACTTATCAGCTATTACCTTGCCACCACGACCGTTCATTCAACAATTGACCAGTTCACCGGAAGATGCGTTTAAGAAATTGAAACACGTTAAGGATGGTTTGTCTTCACCCAAGTTTATGTCATCCGTCGCTCACGGGCATGGGATTTCTGTATTGGCTTCGTCTCCTGCGGTTGACGAAGACATTTCTACCTTGTGTGGCAAGCGTGCTGCTTCACCTTTCTTTGTGGAATACAGGGAATTGGCACATATGGATTTGACTGTTCGTCGTACACTACCCTTTATCAATTGTGCTATTTCGGCAGTGGATGCCGTTGCTGTTGCTGTTGACCATGCCTATACTGACCAAGATGCTTATATTACGGGATGCATGGCGCTGGTTCTAGATCAAGTTTCAAGTCGTTCTAGACCAACTATCCCATTTTTTTGGTTACGTACTTGCGATGCGTAGGAGAGGTCCCCTCAACATTTCGTCTTGGGATGAAAGATTCAAAGACGAATTGTTTAGGCAGCCTTGATCCTCAGATATGCTTTTTGGTGGCAATATTGGAGAGGTTTCTACCATGGTGCATCAGGAGACTCATTTTCAGGTACCGGAAGTGGCTCCTCCAAGCAGTGACTCACAGAGATTGCTGCCCGACTTGGTCTTACCGCCCCCAATCGTCCCGATCTTCGACTCACTGGTGGGCTGGAGATTAGGGAAGTTTGCTCCCAATTGGGACATTCTCGGAGACCCTTACGTTTCAGCCATCCTCACTCACGGATATCAGATGCCACTTGTCGGGAATCCACCTCTCACAGTCACTCCTCTTTAACGCAATTATCCTCCGGATCAAAACCTGTTTCTTCATGCCACCATAGACACACTTGGGGACAAGCATGGTGCAGAACAGCTCGACCCGCTCAGCGCTACTCCAGGGTTCTACTCCCCCATCTTTCTGGTGCCGAAAAAGAATTCAAACAAACCTCGTTTGATATTCAACATGAAACAGTTCAATGCCCCGTTTCTATCTCCGCGACCCCACTTTCTTAAGGTGTCAGTCAACTTTCTACGCACCATCTTCTCCACAGGCAGTTTACCATCAAGTTGCTAACACAATTAGGGTGGCTCCTGAACTACGAGAAGTCTGAGTTAATACTGACTCGGAGATTACAATTACGGTATTTGACACATAACAGGCCATGTTGTTTGTACCCCAGGACAGATGGGACAAAATTTGACGCATTCTACCTTCAGCATTGAACTCACCCAGAACTCTGCGCCAGTGGCAGGAGTTACTAGGGTTATTGACGTCGGCACAAGCACTGACTTACAGGGGCCAACTGCAACTTCGCCCTCTTCAGATGTTTTTGTGTCCATACATCCGGAACGACAACCCCAGGGAGATGATTCGTCTTCCCGTGCAACTACGACCAGTTTTTTTGGTGGCTCGACGAGCAGAATGTTTGCGCGGGAGTCTCTATGGTGCCCTTCACACCGACTCGTCACCGACTCGTCACCTGTTCGTCGACGCATCCCTCGATGGCTGGGGCGCCCACTTTCTTCATCATCAAGTGGCCGGGCAGCACTGGTCATCCGCAGAAAAGGCCCTTCAAATCAACGAGTTGAAATTCAGTGTTATCATTCTCGCCATTCAGCATTGGGTGGCAGAACTCCGAACTCCTGATTCAATCAGACAACTCGACAGTAGTATGGTACATCAATCATCAAGGCTCGACAGGTTCGGCAGCTCTGCTCCAGTGGATGTTTCGATTTTACCATCTAATCGATTCTCTCAACATTATGGCCATAGCTCGACACATTCCCGGGGCGAGGAATTTCATAGCCGACGCCCCGTCGAGCCCCAAACGGCCATCACCAACAGAGTGAAAGTTACTGCCCCTGATATTCCAGTCAATGATCTGCCCGGTATCGCGACCAGACGTAGATCTATTTGCCACTTGGTACAACCATCAGCACCCACGTTTCGTGTCCCCAATTCCGGATCCTCAGGTGTGGGACCACGACGCGTTAGCCATATCATGGGAAGGTCTAAACGCTTATGCGTTTCCTCCCCTGGCTCTGCTACCCATGGTAGTTCAAAAGTTACTTGCAACCAGCAAGATTCGTCTGCTTTTGGTTGCGCCCTTTTGGCCAGCGAGAAGCTGGTTCGGCCTAAAAAAGCTAGCCGAATCCAGTACCGCTACCCGACCGAAACGACCTACTTCGTCATCCACATTAGGACGTGTACCACGGGTCATCACAAACCCTCAATCTGCACGTCTGGCGCATTTACAGAAATCTCTGATAGCCAAGGGTTACTCTCTCAGAGTAGCTACAGCTATAACATCTGTGCATAGGACATCGACCCGATCGTTGTATGACGATAAATGGAAGAAATTTGAAAATTACTGTGGAATTAGGAGAATTAATTCTCCCACCACTGCATCACCTCAGGTTGTTGCGGAATTTCTACAGCATTTACGGGCTACGAAGAAACTCAAAGGTACTACATTGTCAACCTATTTGGTTTTTGCCACAACTACTGGAACAAAGGTGTCTACTACTCCCGAGCTCCAGTATCTGCTTCATTCGTTCAGACTTGCTGACCAGTCTAGGAGGTTCAGACCTCCTGCATGGGATTTGTCAGTTGTCCCAGTTGTGAATATGAGCCACTACATGATAAGGAGTTTGAACAGCTAACATGCACTTAAATGTCAAGGCCATCTATGGCCGACAAGTGAGTATGATTGCCGATGGTTTTGGAGAAAATGCCTGCTTACTGTCGAGGAAATGATTTGTAGATGTTGCAATAACTTTTTAGACCCGTGGAATGCCGCTGCCGATCGAATCTAGCCCTACATAGGTGCTGTCAACGTGGCTGGAATTAATAAACGAATTTAAAAAGTGAGTTTTCGCTGTCTTGGGTGATCCATGATTTGGGCTTGGAATTGCGGAGGTTGCTGTTTTCGGTGAGTCGTGGCGTATAACTTTTGTAATAATGGTCTGATTGTGACCATTTATAGCTCATTTTGTAGGGAAATCATCTTGCTTTTGATCCGTAGGCCTCGACGGGGCCTTAAAAATAGGTTACGTGGTGAAATCTAACTTAGATTGAGGAGGGGGTGGTTCCGTCGTTACATCCCTTTCCTTTTATATAGTACTAGGGTAGGGTCTATATACCTATATGTCTTTCTAACGCTGTTTCTAAGCGTGACACACCCCTGTGTAGTGGAAGCCATGTGGTATTGTTCTGGTACTGAACGTTAAACTTGTGAGCTTTCTGATTCAGTTTCCTTTTCCCCTCTTAGTGATTGGGTCTTCTGGGGGGCTGTCTCGAAGAGGGGCTGTGACTCACCTAGTTGCGTCCCCTTGCTCATGCTAGGGTTGCGGCCGAATACCACATCGCTCGGGAGCACCCACTCCTTGGGAGCGATTGTGCCTAGTTCAAGCCAAGGGGTTCAGGACAACCCATCACTAGTATAGGTACTATGCTAGTTGGATCTGGCCTCCCTTGTTCTTTGCCATCTATGGTTGTCATTAGCCTATACAGTATATACTGTCAGTGCTCTTTGACTTAGGGTAATCTGCGACCCGCCGTCCAACCGTGGGATAAGTGTAAATTGTGAGATAGGATAAGTTTAAAAATTTGGAATTTTGACTATAAATTGTATGTTTATATACTTATCCTATCTCACGCAATCTATGACCGCCCAGCCTCCCCGCTACTCAGATTACGACGGTTACAGTTAACTGTCATTGGCTTCAAGAAGAGAATGATCACTCTGAGGTAGTCACGTGTTTAGATAGGGGAGCATTCTGCATGCTTAGCATGGGACTAGGGACCTGTCCTATAAGGAGAGCAGCCTGGGGAACACGGGCATATGGACAAGAGAGACCTACAGGGAAAGTTCTAATTCATTCCACTCAGCGTCGAAGCAAGAGAGAGAAGTGCAAATCGTGAGATAGGATAAGGATATAAATATACAATTTATAGTTAAAATTTCCAATTATCAGATTATACAAGTTATCTAAATTCATGGATTGTGAGGAAGTTGTATCTGTTTCCCTTTTGTCCCACTTGTTCCATGAGTTGTGGTAATGGATTTGAAGTGCAAGTTTCAAAAGGTTAGCTGTATGTAATGCTTAAATGGTCTCCTTTTAAATAAGGGTCACAGATGACCAATCCATGGGTGTCCCATGGGCTCACCAGAGACCTTTCATTATGGATTCAAATCACTGTTTGCCCCAGTTGTGTATGCAAGTGTGTCAGCACCATAATCCTGCTTATAGGTTTTAGTCAAGTAGAAAACGTCATGATATGGCTTAAATAATGCTGATGTGACTTTAAATTTTAACTCACTCACTCACTCAAGTAGAAAACGCCTAGGACCTGCACCACTTTGGGCTTTCTTCCCACATAAAGCCAGCACTCCGTAATATGACTGGAGTCATATTCAGTGTGACATTATACCAGAGTCACTCACAGAGGCCTTGTTGAAGAAATAACCTTAATGATGTGAATTGTTTCTTTGGCAGTACAACATTACATTTGAATTTGCTGGAGCGTGTCTTCAGACTATTCCTTCGACAATCACAAACCAAATGAGTGCTGGATCGGTCTTGGTTATAATGTAAGTTGCTTGTGAAACTTTTCGTCACCAGGGTCATAATCATTCTAACATTTCCTTATGATGCAACAAACTTCATTTGATACTTAGTTAAGTCTTACCACTTATATCAACACACCTAGCTTTCCACACTACCAATGTCCAAACTGATCATAGCACCTAGGATTTTAAGTCCATATGAAAACGTGGGGGTTACGCTAGTTGTAGCCATGGTGAGTTATAACCACTTAAGTGCCAGCCTCAGTCGGAGTTATAACCACCAGCCTGCTACGTTATGGAAGAAGTTTATGATCTGTTTTAGTGTTGTTTATGCCAGTGTGGTGAATTCTTACTGCAAATCAGTCACATTGCTGCATGCCATCTGTATAGACATGAGCTATTTTAGAGTATGTTAGAGTGTACCATAGATACATTAAAGTAATATTGAAATAGGCATATCAACGAAATGAAAATGTTACATAAAATATATTCCACTGAGCAGTTAAATGAAACACAAATAAATATGTATCTGAAATACTGGTGTTTATGTTGGTTCTGTCTTTTCAGATTCTTTGTCTTTGTGTTGTCCTACTTTGTGTTTGGTTCCATGTGGAACATTGCCTGTCGTGGCGCTCGAGGGAAGGAGGTGGTGCCAAACGTGGAGTTCTGGACCGATCTGCCGGTGTATATTGCTGTAAGTTATCAGTAGAGGATTAACATGGTTGTAAATTATTCTATATCCTGTTTATTATGAACCATCTATTTATGCTTTGTCTGTTATTGAATGGTGATAACTTTCTGAGATAATACAGAGTGTAACATGTTATATTTGGGATTATATTTTCTCAGTAAAATAAAGATAGTAATACTTTTATTGGGTTGAATCCGGCATTCAAACCCACTTTCAAAACAAAAGTACTAAAATTTGTACTTTACTGAGAAAGTGTAATCCCAAATATAACACATGTTAGTTACATTTGTCCACTTTCTAAATGGCATTATGTAGTCATAGCTTTCGGCCATGGGAGTTGTGCCAATTTATGTGCTTGTCAGAGGGTACACAAAGTACATAATCTACACTTGCCAGTTGTCCCACTTTAGTTTTTGTATAAGCCACAGTGGCTCGTCGGGAAGGATGGCTGACCCAGTGTGCTGGTGATTAGGTTCCTGACTCTGAGGGTGTTGGTTCAAATTCCAGATGGGACTCAACCCATCAAAAGCAGTAGAATCTGTACTTACTGGGAAAGTGTTATCCCAAATATGATGTATGTTACATTTCAATATGATCCAATAGTGACCGGTGTGAGAGATAACTGGATTTGTGGAGACCAGTATGATCATGGTATATGGTATTATATTCCATAGTGATGGTCATTGGAACAGTTTGAACAGATCCAGAGCAAACTATGCTTGTCTCCCTGTGTAGACCGGATTAGAATCAAATCAGATCCAGAGGAATCTATGCTTGTCTCCTTATGATCCAGAGCAATCTAGACCGGGTTAGATCAGATCCAGAGCAATGTATGCTTGTCTCTCTGTGTAGACCGAGTTAGATCAGATCAAGAGCAATGTATGCATGTCTCTCTGTTTAGACCGAGTTAGATCAGATCCAGAGCAATGTATGCATGCCTCTCTGTAGACAGGGTGAGAACAGATCCAGAGCAATGTACGCATGTCTCTCTGTGTAGACCGAGTTAGATCAGATCCAGAGCAATATATGCATGTCTCTCTGTTTAGATCAGATCCAGAGATCTATGAGTTAGATCAGATCCAGAGCAATGTATGCATGCCTCTCTGTGTAGACCGGGTTAGATCAGATCCAGAGCAATGTATGCATGTCTCTCTGTGTGGACAGGGTTAGATCAGATCCAGAGCAATCTATGCTTGTCTCCCTGTGTGGACTGGGTGAGATCAGATCCAGAGCAATCTATGCATGTCTCTCTGTGTGGACTGGGTGAGATCAGATCCAGAGCAATGTATGCATGTCTCTCTGTGTGGACAGGGTTAGATCAGATCCAGAGCAATCTATGCATGTCTCTCTGTGTGGACTGGGTTAGAACAGATCCAGAGCAATCTATGCATGTCTCTGTGTGGACAGGGTTAGATCAGATCCAGAGCAATCTATGCTTGTCTCCCTGTGTGGACTGGGTTAGATCAGATCCAGAGCAATGTATGCATGTCTCTCTGTGAGGACCGAGTTAGATCAGATCCAGAGCAATCTATGCTTGTCTACCTGTGTAGACCGGGTGAGAACAGATCCAGAGCAATGTATGCTTGTCTCTCTGTGTGGACAGGGTTAGATCAGATCCAGAGCAATCTATGCATGTCTCTCTGTGTGGACTGGGTGAGAACAGATCCAGAGCAATGTATGCATGTCTCTCTGTGTGGACAGGGTTAGATCAGATCCAGAGCAATTAATGTTTTTCTCCCTGTGTTTACTTGGTTAGATAGGTTACATAGGTATTCAAAACAACTTTAGAGGACCACTGGATGTTTTCAAATTACTATATTTAATCTTTCATTGTATGAAATGTAAACTTTTAGATGAAAGAGTGAATGGTTCCTTACTACTTTTTTATACTCAGAACGTCTCACCCAGTAATGAGTGTTACTGTTATAGTACTCAGAACGTCTCACCCAGTAATGAGTGTTACTGTTATAGTAAGGATGTTGATCAACCTATCCGATTCAATTAGATTTTCTTGCTTCTTCTATTTCAGGATGGGTTTTTATTTACATTCCGCTGTGGTCAAGTTGAACCTTCATCGTATGAGAGTATTTGAGGATGCTGCATGTTCTGTGAAGGAAAAGCAAGTTTGGGTCTATCAAGAAGCTGCTCAAACATGGTGGTGATATGACAGGAAGCTTATGTTATGACAGGAAGCTAAATATTATATCTTCTATCATGTTTATCAGAAGCTGTTCTGCTAAAATCTCATCCAGTTACATTCTGTGATAAGACGAATCAATCTCCAAACTGCAATGTGTACAAGAATCAGGTTAGCTCAACAAACACATACCACTGGTGCTGTAGTGTGTCTATGCATGGGAAATACTGTAGGAGAAATCATAGGGTCAAACTGATTCTATTAATGTTATCAAGCAAGTGATTAGATAACTGAAATGTTGCTCTCAATACAGGGTGTTGTTTGGCTAAGAATAATCACCCTTTTTCATCATCCCATTTTGTACATGCATTCAGAGAAGTTATATTGATACTGTGTATTGGTTTGGTGTAGTGCAAAGCTACACATTGTAGCAATTTTCATCTTACATGTGATAAGGTGAATGGAATAAGTGCCTAGTTGTTTTTGTCAAAATTCTGTAAATTAGATTTGTGGTGGCAGTAGTAAGTTTTTGACTGTTGTATGAAACCTAGCCTCCCCTGTAATCATTGATGTGTATAGAATGATGAAATACTTGTAAATAGGGGAGGTAACCCTGCTCACATTTAGTCTTCCATGATGTTGGTGAAAAAAATTATTTAGATTTGCATACAAATAAATATTGGCTTAAAGCATAGGTTTGAAAGAATTTTGCTGACAGTAAAGTTTATGAAGATGAGCTGTCATGTTTTCATCCTCAGACTTGGATCAACAACATTTCTTTGTCAGCTTCCAGTTTATCATCTGTTTTCTGTCTGCCAAAGCTGGAGTAAGGAGCAGGAAGTATTATATTTCACTGAAACAAGTGAAGCCTTGGATAGTTTCAGAATGAAATTGTAGTTTCTGTTTGGGAACTGTTGTTTATATTCTGTAAATAATCCCTCACATCTGTGCTGATGCCCTGTTTGTTCAGTGAAACATGCATCTTAATACAAAAGACACAAATATAGACTGGTGTATTATAATAAATATCTGATCATATATTCATATTTCTTTCAATCTTATGTCAACACAGGACATAGCAAGTTCAACACAGAAAGTTATTGAATTAAGTGTATATGTTTTATTTCTTACATATTGGTAACATAGTTTGTTTACATCTCTGTTCATGTCAATAGTGCATGAAGTAAAGTGAATGGGGCCTTTAACAAATGGATGTTGATACATATCCAACCATAACATAGCTGGAAAATACAAGTCTTTGTAGGGGTTCATGAGTCTCAGACTAATGTAATAGTAACCATGTTTTAATGTATCGATAAGAGAGCACTTTGACAACCAAGTGTACTATTAGATCAGTTGGCTTGGCAGAAACATTTATTTCTATGTGTCATTGTCAATCACCACATTAAAGACTTTGGACATGGTTTGAATTTAAGAAAGTATTTTTGGTACAAGGTATATTATCTCAGGTATGCTTGTTTGTCATAGTAAACATCAGTATCATTGTCATGTCTGTTCATGTACATGTGTTTCTCCATGAAATCTTCCACATATGTTGTGCTGCTTCTGATTTAATATTCAAGAATATCAATAGAACTGATAAAGCATTGTTTTTGTCAGTTTGTTTATAATCCATTTGGCCCCAATTTCAGTGTACTGTGGAGGTTGTTGGATGATAAAAATGTCCAAATTTGATTGCTTTTAAACTGCATTTATTTACCACTTAATAAGAAAAGCAGAGAGACAAGCTGTGATAGTAGTCAGTTTGATCAGTGAGGGTGGCTGAAGTCAGTGACACCATCATTGCCTCTCACTTCCTGGCCTGACCCCGAAACACATTGCTGTATTGAATTTACAGTGGTAAGTGATGCTGTAGAATTATGTTAACAAGATGATCTCTATTTTGCTATGCTTGCCTGATGAAGATAGTTTCATGTGCATGAATCTAAAAATATATTTGAGTCTGTATGAAGCTGAAAGCTTGTTTTCTGCACTGGTGATGTTTATTAAAAGCACGACTTTACTATGTGGTCTGGAAATATATATCTGAAAAGCACTGTTATATTCTGATGAAGATGTTGAGTGCAATGTCACCACAAGAGTATTGAGATTCACAAGACAAGCTTAAATATCACTGCTTTACACTAGGATATATTCAGATAACTTGTGAATAACCAACATAACAATATGAAATGTATTTTGTTATTTATTGCCCATACCACCAACCATGATTTTTCACTTAAAAATCTGCTTACCAAGAAGTATACAGAAGTCAAGTATAAGTATTTGATTGCATTACAATGTAACTGTACACTTTATTCAGAGGGAAGCAATATATCATAGTTCAGGTAATCTTCATAGTCCAAGTTTAACAAAAAAACGCCTCCGTGGTGTAGTGGTTAGAGCGTCCGCCCGGAGAGCGGAAGGTCGTGGGTTCGATCCCCGACCGCGTCATACCAAAAGACGTTAAAATATGGTACTTGTTGGTCCCTGTCTGGCGCTCGGCATTAATGGGTACAACAAGGACTGGTTGGCTTGGAGTCAGTATAATGTGTCTGAGTGGGGTATTCATGCTTCACTGCAGCATGGTATCTCAGTAGGCTAGCACTATAAAACCAGCTTCAGTCTGGGCTAGTACAAGCAGCCGCACATACACATACACACGCATGCACGTCGTCATATGAGCGAAATATTCTCAAGCACGACGTTAAACCCAATTTCACCTCACCACCTCACCAAGTTTAACAAAAGATTTTAGGAAGGAATCCTGCATACAGAGTTATGTCCCTTCGATTATGGGTGGAAAGGATGCCTTTTTGATACATGTTTCCTCTAACAGAGCTTTACTGTACATAGGCGATAATGTATCACTTGTCATACTATGATAGGCAGTTATTAGAAATTAAACTGAGACTTGTAGGATGTAAGACACACCTGTAAGGAAGTGGTTATTTATTCTTTGGATCATATTTTACATATTTCATGTTCCAGATTCATTTTAAAGTACTGTCTGTATTTTTATATGTTCATTGAATATTTTGTTTTGTATAGAAAGAAATTTGATGATCCCTGTGAGACCGAATGGACTAATATTTTCAGCTGATTCAAAGTGGTAAATGAATGTGTAAATGAGTAGCGGTGTGAAGGTTGTCTGGCACTCTTGGTTTGGGTAACCCCATTTAACAGGTATATATTTGTATAGAACGAAGAGTCTGAATCAACAGCCAAGTACGAATGCATGTGTGTTTGTTTGTGTGCAGTGCATGAGTGCATGTGTTTGTGTCTGTCTGTGTATCAGTGTCTGTGTGTACCTGTAATACATATGTGTGATTAGCCCTGTACAGATCCTTGTTAAAATAGAACCCTGCAATTCATTGCTTGGCATGTGAGGTGATAAGATGGATGGTTCAGTGAAGCTTGTCGACAGGTGTTGTGTGTGTATCAGGCACTAGTCTGCCTATTCCCGACTTGACTACGTACTGTGATATCCTTACAATATTGCTAATGTGGTGTAAAACAAATACAGAAACAGTATGTATCCGTTATGTAGGCCTAGGATATAATTGACATAAATTTGTTTGTGATGTTTGGGCTGTGTTTATTCACATTAAAGTGACGGACAGCACCATGCCTATATTCATTGATGTTACAAGACTACATGAATATGTCCGACCATTGCTATGGGTTTACGTCCCACGTTAAACCGCCATTCTGTGATGTGATCTGACCCACTGATCAGTGTTAACATGGTTAGTCCCACTCCTTCAGGCGAGGAGATGCAGGATCTTACTGTGCTGAAGTCACCCTTCAGAATAGGAAGGCAATTGGTAATAATTGTTGGTTTCAAATAAATATGTTTATCCAGTGAGGCAGCATTCAGATTTGACTAAAATGTAACAACAATTATGTTATGTATTTCTGACATAATGGAGTCTAAAGACTTTGTTGTTGTCTGTGGTGGTTGTTGGTTCCCTCTTCATCCTCCATAAGTGATGGTAGAAGAAATAAGAAAATAGACACAGAAAAAGAAAAAGAGTGGTAAATGGAAAAAATCCTATTTCAAAGAAGTGGTGAAAGAATTACAGTGTATTCTGTTTGTATGTGAATGTGACACATATGTCGCTAATTGTACATTGACTTATTATGATTGTTTAAAAATATACTTTCAATGTACTGTTTGTCATGTTTTCTTTTAAGAACTTGAATTTACATAGCTAGAGCTTATTTTTTCACAGTAATATATGTATCCACAAAGTAATCAATGTTTGTAGAAATGTATGGTTTGAAGTGTGATAAATTTATTTCATTAAATGCACCTGGAGTTTGTGGATGTCCATGTTAGAAGGGATCGTTGCAAAGTTTACAGTCTGTATTGCTATCTGTAATTTCTCTGATGTAGATCATGGCAGGTGGACAGGCCTGTCAGTTGTAAACAAGTTGGCATCATTCTTTGTCTGATCCGGTAAACAATTGGACATCATACTAAATTTGTCTGATCCGGTAAACAACTGGACATCATACTTTGTCTGACCTGGTAAACATGTTTAGTGTCCTAAACAGATCCATTCGGACATGAACGTCAAGCGGTTATACTTCTTAACTGTGACTGAATTACTGAAAAATTATAATCTGCTGTGTTAAGTGTCTTTGTGCCAACTGAAAGAGTTATCCCCCTTTCCTTGTCAGGTTTCTTTGAAGGTGTTATTTAGTCACTGAAAATTGTTAGCTTTTGTGTAATTCAGCAGACTCAGATAGCAAGTTATATTACATGTTACATTTTACTCTTCATTGTTACAATTTACCTTTGTGACGATCCCAAACAGCTAGAAGTGTTCTTATAAGGACAAACTTTTATGGATGAACAACTTCTTTATTCTTATTCAGGTGATGTGATGTTTGGATACAGATTCTTGTATTGTTGTCAAGCAGGTATGAATCAGGTAGAAAATTAATTGAAGCCATCCACATCAATTGACACCAACTCCTGATCAATAGAAATTAAGGTTATTTCATCCCCGGCATACGATGAACTCATCAATCAATCCTAACTGCTTGCGCAAACATGTTCTACCGCTGCTACTCTGTACATCAAACTGGCTTCTAGATGTAATCCCTCGCATCACATTGTTACTGTACTTCTCAATTATCTTCTTGGTTTTTTGTTAATAAAATAATGTATATATATAATCCTGATTCATACTTGCTTGACAATGATACAAGAATCTGTATTCGAACATCGCATAACCTGAATAAAGATTTTGTTCATCCATAAAAGTTTGTCCTGGTCTGACTGACTCCAACTTCTAAAAATGCCACTAAAAGAAGTTAGAAGTGGACTTGTTTGCACAGGATTCAGAAGGGTGTTGATTGATTTACTTGTGTTTGCTACATCTTTTGCAATATATCACCTTCTATTAAACTGACCATTTATATTTTCATGATTTTGTAAATAAATCTTATTCTTATGTGTAAATGTTTTGTGGTTATTTTGGCTGAAGGTGACATCATCAGTTTAGAGCACCCACATACTTAATTTCAAAGGTTCAGGACAATTTGTCAAAAATGAAAGCAAATGTCATTTGAAGTTTATCGAAAAAACAATTATGTGAAATTCTGGACTTTCTGATTGATAACATCTTTGTAAAATTTAGGATTAAACATTTCGACAGGAAGTAGGCATCCCCATGGGCACCAATTGTGCTCCTCTCGGATCTGTTTCCTTATGCATATAAATCAGAATTTCTGCTGTGGGTTGGCAAACTCAAAACAAAGTAATTTGGCCAAGAAGTTCAGCTTCAGGTATATCAATTATCTATTATCATTCCATTACCATCAAATATCCAATTCCCTTCCACTAATTCACCGGAGACATGCGAGACATCTCTGATATGGAAAGACAAATATTGCAATTGTCATATATCCATGGTATGAATGCATGTTATGAATATACCATACATTTAGAAGATTTGAGCTTCATTCCATTTGTAAATAATAATGTTTGGTAATTAATATCTGTATAATAAAGTATAGATACATAACACATTGCAAGCAAGCATTGGTACAGCAGAGCTTTTTGAGATGCGGTTAATTTTTGTTGTATAAACATAATGATTATAGCTGGCATGATTTGAATGTGAAATCTCTTAGAGTTCATTCCATCAAATGAAGGACTTGCTGTACACGAAACATTTTGACATCAACATTTTCAGCATAATCACTGGCATAATTATATTAAGAAACACAACCCTCCATTTACCATGAAATATCACTTGCTTGGCCTACCATTAATGAAAAGCCACAAGCATTTATAACCTGTGTTATATTTGGGATTACACTTTCTTAGTAAAGTACAAATTCTAGTATAAATTCTTTTGTGTTGAGCCCCATCCGGGATTCATGTTACATTTGACCACTTTCTAAATGGCATTGTGTAATCATAGCTTTTGGCCGTGGAAGCCGTGCCATTTAACACTTATCAGAGGGGTACACAAAGCCCACAGTCTAGACTAGCAGTTGTCCGACTTCGATTTCTTGTGGAAGTCGCAGTAGCTGAGCGGGTTAGCCGGCTGACTTTGTGTGCTGGCGATTAGGTGCCTGACTCTGAGGGTGTGATTTCGAATTCCGGATGGGGCTCAACTCAAAAAGTACTAGAATTTGTACTTTACTAAGAAAGTGTAATCACAAATATAACACATGCTACATTTGACCACTTTCTAAATGGCATTGTGTAATCACACAAGCATTTACCATTCCACACTCCTAAGGGACCGTTTATAATTTATGGCTAGTGGGTGAAGAAGTATGCAGTATTGACAACCCTCCCCCCCCCCAAAAACCCCAAACAATTTATGTACAAAGTAATTAAGTGACCCCTTGAATGTCATGTACAAAATCAGTGACACCCCCACCCCTTATAGTGCATGTTTACAAAATTGTTGAACACCCCCACCCCCAGAACAAAATGGGGGGCACCATCACCTCCCTAAGCCATAAATTATGAACGGGTTACTAAAGAATGATCGTGTTGAATTCACCTTATTTTAGCGGGGAATTCCTTAATATTATCACGAGTTACCTCCCTTAGAAATGAGTTTTGTGGAGAAATGAAAGCTGCTACCATGTCGTTAGGAACGTGCTTTTAAGCCGGTACGAGTTTTATACAAACAAAGACAGTTAATGTCGATTAATGAAAGGCGATTAAATGTGTGTATCACATGTGATAGAGTGTCGCAGAAAACACTAAACATATGTTTTGTAATGAATTGGTATGTAGATAGACCTTCAATTTTCGTGTATACCACGTTTTAAACTGTAATTATGGTAAAGATGTTATGGATACGTTTTGAACAACACTTACATGGTTTATCAACATTGTCACACATCCAGTAAGTAGAAACTTTGAATTCAATGATATGAATTGCTCCATTTTCCAGTAAACCAGCATACACTTGACTCGTATAACTGTCACCGCTCAAACCCGTAAAGCGTACGCTCGTCACGCCGTCGACACTGGTTCGATTCCCCACATGGGTACAATGTGTGAAGCCCATGGAAAGAGTTCCTTACGTTCACCCATATAACATGTAACATTACCGTGCCTGACGCCGTTGTCATACTAAAATGGGTCCGTCCCTATATTTTGTAATTAATTTTGGTGCTTTTATTTTGTTGTTGTGAGTTCCTATACTAGTAATTGTTGTGTTGGGTTTTGTTAATAATTTTAGTATAGATTCTATATTAATTTATAAATATTATTTTGAATGGGGGAACGGGAGGAACTCTTACCAAGCCCCATTTCTGGTGTCCCCGCTGTGAAATTGCTGGAATATTGCTAAAAGCGGCATAACCAAACTCACTCACTTGTACCCGTAACTGTTATCACAAACTAATGCATTACATAGCCTGAAAGTAACAACATATCATATCAACAACCACATCAAAACCCATGTTTTGTTCTGTCAATTCATGCAGGTATGTCATGTGTATGTTCACATAACCAAAAGAACCAATTACCCACTAAAGAATTGTATCACACGGTTACACATCAACTGTAGTATTTAGATACCAACCAAGATTGTAGGTAAACTCAAAGCTATAATAATCTGTAGTCTTCGAGAATTTGTAGCCGTTCTGAACTCAGACAAACCTCAACAGGCAAATTAATATGATTACATTAGAACTCCCATGATTCACAGGAGAGAAGGTTTACTGCAGCTTGATTTGTGTCAAAAAAAACCTAGAAATAGCTCACAGGCAACAGGCGGCTCTTGCAGAGGTCATTTAAGAAATCTGTGTGAAACTGTCGACCAATTCCAGTATTTCAGGACTCCATAAGACCTAGCCATGGCGGGTGATGATATGGAGATTGAGACATTAAAGGCAAAAGTCCTGGAACTGGAAGCTGAGCTGACAGCAGTGAAACAGGAACTAGAAGATGCACATAAAGAAATAGAGAAAGGGGCCAAGGCTTTGGAAAAGAAAAAACGACAGCTTGAAACTGCCAATACGTACAATGATGATCTTCGTGAACAGATGACAGCCCTGAGTCGTGAGATTCAGGACTTCCGAGACAGACGACGAACTATGAAGGAAGCAGGACTTCAAGCTGTTGCAGAGGAGATTCTTACAGGTACTGACATGACTGACAGCATTGTGAAAGTTGTTGGAGGGTGTGAAAGTGGGTTTAACATTGTATTGTATTGTATTCAAGGTTGAAGTGAAAGTAGTGAGTAAGTTGTGTTGAACACCAATTTAAGACATCGTTGTAGTCAATGTATGAATTAATTTTGAAAAGTCTCTGGCCAGGAGGGCAAGTTAAAATAAAAATGTTGCTAGCCCACATCATACTTCACTGGCCCTGAAAAATATCCATATCAAAATGCACATCGGACAGAATTGGTGTGGTGTTTGGTAATTGAAAATGTTAAACGTTACATTTGTACTGTAATGGTTCAGGAACTCTTTTGCGCAACGCTGTTAACATTTTTCATATAGCGATCTTCATGTGACAAGAGATAATAGATATCACGGAACTTTTGTGGACAGACTTTTAACACCTTAATAATTGACGTCATCATATCCATGTACATTAAATAAGGAACAAATTATCTGAGATTTTCAGCTAGCCTGTCAGGATAGCTTTAATAATTTATTACTGGCCCGATTCACAATCTGCTAGCATTTGTCTAGCGGGCCAGTAGCTATTTCGAACGCTGGTTGTAGTTATGTCACACAGGGCTCCAGATAATTTTTTTCTGATCAGGAGTACATACTCCTTAATTTTCCAATATAGGAGTACTGGAAAACAATAAGAGTACATTTAGAGTACTGAATGAAATTTAATGGAGTATCAGCAATCTTGTGCCTTGTTTCATATATGCACCACAACATTGCTACTCTTGTGTAAACAGGTAAATAAACAATAAAACAATACTTTTTTCAGATAAATATGTCTGTAAGTGATTCTTAGACCCTACACCATTGCTGTAGTGCATATCTGCTATGTTTTCTAAATTATTTCCTACCGTATCATGCATATTTTTAATCCGTACATACGCTGATACGGCCCTTATCTGGAGCCCTGTCACAACATCAGGTCAAACAGGACAGTAAGTAAAAAGGAAGTCTGCTTTGTGCTTACATGGAAACTAAATCATCACTGCTTTTTCAAATGTTCAGTTTGATAGAAGGATATCTATCAGTACCATTGTATTTCTATAATCTATCCCCTTTGCTTTTATCATGTGTATGCCATTGTCTGGTGTGTATATTCGCCACAGAACTTGGAGAAAAGCCACTGCCAAACTGGGAAAATGGAGAAACTACCACACTGGTAATTTGTTTAATTTACATCACTCTTAGTATGTCTAGTTATGTCAACAGTACTTTCATTGATGTTCCCCATGATGAGTTGGGGTTAGATATGATCACCTGCAACCTAAGCTGTTTGTGAGACCAAGTGGATTGAGTGTTTGTACTCGATGACTTGGTTGATTGGTCATCATTCCTAGACAGGGTTTGTCATTTCCACAGTCTCAATCACTGGAATGCCTGGTCCAGACATGCCAATTTATGGGCTTCAGTCGTAAAGCTTGAATGTTGCTCAATGTACCATTAAACAACAAATGAACATGTCAATGATGTCAGCAGACTTGAATACGATTGTCAGCCTGTATACGTAATGAAATCAGAATTTGTGAATTCTAAAATACTCTTCATACAGATCTGCTTTACTTGTATTTTATTTTCAATGTATCTCATCGTGTGCATAAACAATTTACCCCCTGGAATAGGTTGACTATTGAACATGATGAATGCACATCTCAGCATTCATGACTCCTGATGACACCTCATTGTGTTCTGATGTCAGCATTCATGACTCCTGATGACACCTCATTGTGTTCTGATCTCAGCATTCATGACTCCTGATGACACCTCATTGTGTTCTGATGTCAGCATTCATGACTCCTGATGACACCTCATTGTGTTCTGATGTCAGCATTCATGTGACTCCTGATGACACCTCATTGTGTTCTGATGTCAGCATTCATGACTCCTGATGACACCCATTGTGTTCATTGTGTTCCTGATGATGTCAGCATTCATGACTCCTGATGACACCTCATTGTGTTCTGATGTCAGCATTCATGACTCCTGATGATGACGCCTGATGTGTTCTGATGTCCTCATGATTGTGTTCATTGTGTTCTGATGTCAGCATTCATGACTCCTGATGACACCTCATTGTGTTCTGATGTCAGCATTCATGACTCCTGATGACACCTCATTGTGTTCTGATGTCAGCATTCATGACTCCTGATGACACCTCATTGTGTTCTGATGTCAGCATTCATGACTCCTGATGACACCTCATTGTGTTCTGATGTCAGCATTCATGACTCCTGATGACACCTCATTGTGTTCTGATCTCAGCATTCATGACTCCTGATGACACCTCATTGTGTTCTGATCTCAGCATTCATGACTCCTGATGACACCTCATTGTGTTCTGATCTCAGCATTGGCATGTGTTCTGATGTCTCATTGTGTTTGACACCCTGGCAATATATCATTGGTTCTGATCAACATTTCCAGCTTCTACATTCTAAATTCATGAAAGATATGACCACTTCTCTTACTTTTGTTATTTATGAATTAGTTCTATGGTGAATATATATTTGAGCCAGTTGAATCATTTGGTTACAGGTGGGCACAGACAAGCCAATCTCTATAGCAGAATCCCTGAAACAGACAGCAGAGGCAACTCTTTCCCAGTCTGGATTTGTGTTTGATGATAACAGTGGCCTCTACTATGATTACAAGTCTGGGTATTACTACAACCATGTGAGTTGGCTGTCAACCTTCACTGGAAGGATTCCACAGTGGCATAGCAGAGTTAGGATAGTAAAAGTATACTGATGCTCAGATCTAACATGTCTCTAGTGGTCATTAAGTCTGTAAGTTCAGCCACTTGTTTGAAATGTCATGAAGTTTTATGTTATTTTTAACTTTCTGCTTTAAGTTGATGATATCTGAAAAAATAGAAGAAATTGCACTTTAGTGAAATACACCTTGCAAACAAATCAGAAACAAAAACAACAGTTTGGGAGCTTTGTAAATATTGGTTCTTTAAATATTAATTGAAACCTCTTATAAAATTTTTAAGATATTGGCAGGTAAAATGTTGTGAGAAGAAGATAGGACACATATAATTCATGTACAGTTTCATTCATATCATTTGTAAAGAATGGTTGCAGATTAGCACTTGCAGCTCGTGCAATACATTCAGGTTTAAGTTTGCCCATTAATATGTTGTATACTTTCAGTTTTATAGCACATATAATGTCAACATGTAGGAAGATACTTATCTACACACCAAAAATAATTTTTTACAGTCACTTATTGTCTTCACACTATCATGATCAATACTTTCCCTTTGTTTCTGTTGGTAGTGTTTTCAAGGAATTCACACAGTTATTTTCTCACAAACAAACAAGGAAGTGTATTCTTGAAGTAACTTCCAGTCATTGTCCAACTGTTTCATGTGATGAAATATGTTATGTCTTCACATCCTGTTTTTTTAATTATGCGATGTCACACCGTGCACAGGGATTTATAGCACAAAGACGAGCATCAATGTACATATTTTCACTGTCAGGGTCTTAGTGATAATATAGGCTTATACCTTGATGCTACTCAGTGTCAAAGTCTAACCAGGACGGTGACCAACCTGCCCATCTCCTTACACTGAGTAGTCCGGACATGCAACAACAACCCTCTTTGTTATCTTAAATACACATGCATTGTTGACTGATAGTCTGAGTTGACCTTTCTCAGGATGCTTCCTATTCATAAAAAAAGGTTTCTAAAGTATCTTTGAGCTTTGGTAATCTCCTCAATGGGGACAGTCTCACATGTCCTTCCAGACCAAGTTAAGACTATTGCTCCCCATTCCTGATAATGTAGAGGGAGGAGCAAGGGATTTACATTACTTGTGTTAATTATCACAGGGGCAAGGGCTGAATAATACTTGTTATCCCCCGCCGTGCAAAGCAGGGGATATAGTATAAGGCTCCATCCGTCCGTCCGTCTGTACGAATTGGAATATCTTAAGAACTGTTGACTAGATTCTTTTCATACTTGGTACCTAGGTTCATCATAGTATGCGAATGGTCCCAGGCAGGTTTGGTGATCTTGACCTTCATTTCAAGGTCACAAGGGGACCCTTGTCAGTGAGATATCTCAAGAACCGTTCACTTGGCGCAGGGCTCAGTTGCTTTTGGTGACCTTCACATAATTTTCAACTTTGAAGATTTCATCATGTTAAGCTGCATGTTAAGCTTTTCAGTGAGATATCTCAAAAACCATTCACTGGATTTTCCTCAGATTTGACACCCAGCTTCATATAGGGAAGAGGCAGGGCCCAGTCGATTTTGGTGACCTTCACATTATTTTCAAGGTCACGCGACACTGAAGATTTCAGCATGTTAACCTGCATGTTAAGCTTGTCAGTGAGATACCTTAAGAACCATTCACTGGATTTTTTCATATTTGACACCAAGATTCATGTAGGGAAGGTGCATCGCCCAGTCGATTTTAGTGACCTGCATGAAATTTTCAAGGCCATGGTGACACTTTGAAGATTTCAGCATGTTAAGATTGTCAGCAAAATATCTCAAGAACGGTCCACTTCTCTTGAATGTTTTTTGATAAGCAATTTCTTTATAACTATTTTTTGCATATTTCATACACCATGACATTCATATCAAGGTAAAAGTGAGTCTTGAAAATATTTGTGTGTTTGAACAACTACAGAACAATATATCAAGATGTTTTTGTTGACAACTTCATCTTAAACTACGACTTTCACGTCCATTACTTTTTAAGTTTGATTTTATAATTTGTGGCAGGGATTATGTCACCTTATTGACAATTGCTTGTGTTAATTATCACAGGGCAAGGGCTGTGTAATAATTGTGTTAATTATAACAGGAGCAAGAGCTGTATAATACTTGTGTTAATTATCACAGGGCAAGGACTGTGTAAAACTTGTGTTAATCATCACAGGAGTAACGTCCGTATAATACTCATGTATGTTATCACAGGAACAAGGGCTGTACTACGACCCAGCAACTGGAACCTACTTCTACTATGAGGAGGCGAGTGGAGAGTACAAGTTCCACTCCCAGGTGGAGCCACTCCAGTACACTTGTCCCCCTAGCCAATCACAACCCAGGAATCCCACAGCAGAGCCCTCTGGTAATAAAGAGAAGGTGAAAAAGAAGAAGAGTAAGGATAAAAGGAGGAGGGAGAGAGAGGAGACAGTAAGTTTAGTCAGGGGAAACTAGTCTTGGGTTACTGTGATGGTTCATAAGGTCTTTTGATTCTGTCTGTAAACTCATCTGTAAGAACATGTCCAAGCATTATTTGTTAAATGTTAAAGTATAAACACGATAGGATATCTGTAAAGCATACTCATATTGGGTCAGTGCTCCATGAACCCCATCAGCGATTTCTGAGCCAATTTGGATTTGCACAAGTGCTTACTAAATAGAGGATTTGGTGGTCGAAATGTGTGATCTGGTTGTTTATGATGGTTGTTCAAACTATCAAACATATCTTCACCAAAAACCATTATACTGACAGCAGTCCACAACTCTTGCCCTGCTTTAGAAAACCATAGTTAATGATAAGTATCTTGTTCGATACCTTTTGAACTTCCATCAGAGCCATAGTGCCCCTTCAATCCCTGTCCTCCTCATTCTGCTGAGAGTGTGGTATGTTACCTGTGTCTTTGTATTTCTCCAGATTCACACCAGCCAGTCAGACGTGGACGAAGTGACCTCTGCCCTCCATAAACTGGAAATAGAAAAAAGTCGACAACATGCTATAGGTAAAAACTTACCTCTCACAAAATGTTTTCTCTCTTTCAGGAGCAAAAGAAGAAGAAACGGAAAAAAGGAAAAGATGATGAAAAGAAAAATCCAAGTCGAGGAGAAGAAAATCAGAAAATAGGAAAACAAAGAGAAAGAAGTATAGATCTCATCACAGGAGGGGAGAAGACTCTTTTCGGCCTGAGAAGGATTATATAGATACGCAATGTGTCGGAGAGCCTAGATCTGGTTCAGGTGGAACTAGTAGACATCATGAGGAAACAGAGAGGCGAAGGACAGAGAGGATAGGTGGTAGAGATCAGAAGAGAAGGAGACATTCAAGAGGAAGGAGGAAAACAGTATTGGAAGATTTAGGAACACTAAGTGATGAACAAAAACATCAACTCGAGTCTCATGTTGAGATAGGGGAAATTGTTGAATCTTCTCAGGAGCTGCCTCACATAAAATCTGTTGAGTCTTCAGCAGAGGAAGTGGTGCACCTGAGTGAGGGTGAGGTATTGTCGGACAGTGTCACCTCTGGAAGATGTGACCTCGAGTCTGGGGAGCTGACATCTGACACAGAGTCCTCGTCAACCCTCTCTTCCATCAGTGAGAGTAGTATGGAGGAGGAGGAGGAAGAGGAGGAGGAGGTCGTAGAGGAAGAACAGGAGGGTGGGCAGCGTTAGGTTTCATGGTGACGCTACAGTTACTTGCAGAACCTTTCTGTTGAAACGTCTTCAAAGCTGATATATTAAACTTGATGCAAGTCTTTTGTTGAATATAAAACAATGATGCAAAGATAATGTTGAATCATGTATATATATGATATAAGTAAGAATTATGACATCAACATTGTTTTCTATAATTTTTCCTTATCCTGACTCATGCTGATTTGCTTTCTCTTCCATCCATGCGAATGGTAGTGGAACACTTGAATCCCTTGTAGTTCCCTGAAGAGGACATAAAAGTTCACTCACCCACGAGTTGCCTCCCTTTTCCAACGCAAACAGTCATGTGACCTGCCATGCTTGTCACTCTCTCCTTCATCGCCCAAGCGGATGGTTGGGCGATCACTGGAGTCCTGTATACGGCACCACATCCTTTAATATTTAGATCCTGTATTCAAAATTAAGCTGTGTATGATTTTGGTTATATTTAGTTTTCATCGTATGCCAATATTTTGGAAAAATTATTCATATTTTGTGACATTTATTCATCATAATGTAGTTTGTTTACATTTGATGAAATCTTTCAGTGATTGCAGGTACCAGCTATCAGCGGCTGAGTCTTCTCCCTCAATGCCCGTCATGCATTAATCCATGTTCTTCCAGCTTGTGTTGCAGATACTGTATTAAATTATCAGATTTGCAATTTAATCATTATTTATCTTATATCTATAGACGGGCGAAAGACCAGGAGAGGAAGTCATCTCAAGTCACTGGTGATAATACCGGTAACCGTATGTTGTTAACTACTGCTGAAATTCAGGGGTTTCCCGAGTACGTTACAGGGGCAGAAGAGATGTCTTCATCGTCTGCGCGCGAAGAAGAATCGTCTTCTTCGAACCTTGTTGAAGTCAACTCAGACAACACATCAGAGGTTGTTTTGCCTCCTGATGAAGCAGACGTATATGCTGACTCTCCGACGCTACTGTCTGTAGTACCAGTAAGATGTACTAGAGCGATGACGCAGTCTACCTCCACGACGACACGATCATCCCCTGCAACCATGACAGCTGTTCAGCTGTTTGACGACCAGCCTCCACAATGCAGACGTCTGTCAACAGAGACAACAACAACGTAGCATCATCGCAGTTGCAAGTAGATGCAGAATACGCCTCAGCATTCTCGAACGCTTCATCTACACCGCATTAGTTCCGGCCTACAAAGCAGAACATCGACCCCGATGACTTCATGATGCAGTTTACAATGCAGATGATGGCGAGGATGGAGCAGAGGTTTGCCGAAGAAAGAGCTGCACGGCAGAACCCTACGATGACAGACAACGTTTGACGATACTCGGCCCTGTTCCTGAGACATTCAGCCTCGTCCCACAAGCCTACGGCCGAAGACAACGTCAGCGAACGTACATGTTCGGCAGACCCAGTCGTCTTGGAGAAGAAGAGGTTCGTCGAACTTCCCTGAGTCTACAAGTGGTACGGCAAACGTCCCTGAGTCTACAAGAGACTATGAAGTCACGTCAGCAAACCGACAACAACGCAGACAGATTCCAGCAATGCAGACATCTACAGGGTTCGTGAACCCTCAGATCTACAGGAGGAAGATTCGCGAAAGGAACGTTTGCGGAAGGAAGGTTTGCAAAAGGAAGCTTCACGAAAGAAAGATTCACGAAGGGAGCATTCACGAATGCACTCACAAAGACACAGTTCATCAGAGCGAGAATCGACTCATAGAACAGATGAAGAAAGTGAGTGCATCCTTTCGGATTCGGAAGTTACATCCTGGATCTCAAGTGGTCTGGACTTAGCATCTCCATCCAAAGAGTCGAATGAAGTACTCACATACAAGATGTTGAATGAGGACTTCGACTCTCTCTCGATCCCGCCCATCAAACCGGAGTTCAGATCGGTTAAGGAAGACATCGTACCTTCCGGTGAAGTAGACGCTTATCTAGATTTTAAGACCAACGATTACGTTCACTCACACTACTTCATCGGTGAGACGATCTTCCCCTGCAGGGATGAAGACAACGCCTCAGCGTTCATGAACGCATACACCGCGTTTTATCAAGTTCAGCCCACATTGCAGAACTTCGTCACAGGCGTGTTAATGAATCAAGTTACAACGATGTCAGACAACGTTTGAGAAAGCACCAAAGATGAATCTCCATCATGCATGCAGTCGTGAATGGAATGTTCATAGATGCCAGACTGGCTACGCAAAGTTAACCTGCATGAAGATGTTGTCAACTTTGCACGAATGCAGCTACATTCAGATTTTCTCCATTTGACATCGTGCCTGCGCAGATTACAAGAGATTAAGGGAACATTCTGACAGTCGACACCAGCCTAAGTTTGGCATCATCGCAGTTTCTCATCGAGACATCGCATCCGTCCCAATAGTTCTTAGATTAACATTCAATTTGATGAATGTTTCGACTCTAAAATCAACGTGGCAGCGAAGTTATCAATGCTGCAGTAACCTATTTGTGTATTACAACACAATTGGGGTGTGCAAGAATATTTTACAACATTTAATTCAGACCGATTATTACTGAAAACCAGTAACAACGTTAAGGAAGCGTAGAAACCTCATCAGAACATCTGTACAAGATGACGACTGCATTGTCTTCAATGAAGAATAAGAAGTTGAAGAACAGAGACGCAATTGCCAGAGGGACAGTCTACTTACATCAGCACTAAGCGGCAAATAATTTTGCTCGCTATTACTCAACCAACTACACCCGTGTTAACTCGTGTTATTCTGGGACAAGCCGAATAGCGAGGTTACGGACAAGACCGAGTGATGACGAAAGAACCAACGACTGCACAAGATTTCATGATGATCAATTTGCTGCAACACTAGTAGGGTCACATATCTGGAATCTGATTGGTCCATGAGACAACACCCGGGCTGGTCGATTACCCCCCTTCATGACACACAGAATGGAAACCGGATAGGTTCTCTCTCCTTTATCAAGTGGTTTTCTGCTGATGCAGTCAAGCACTGGTCTGTCTGGCCCTGACTTGACTCGTCTACAGTCCGCTAAATCACAGCTTGCAGATTGATGTTTTGGCATAATACAACACTTTGTAACTCATTCATCTTTAAGTTGTGAACCATCAAATGAAGTACCTCCCACCATATATCTGATGGTTGTTTTATTGTGTTCCATGTTAGAAGTGTCCAGCAACTGGCCCCCCTGTATCCGTGTGATGGTCTCCGAGTCTGACTGTCTGTCTCAAGCAACGCTGTTCATTGTAACCTGTGATGGTGCCAGCATTGGCAGGGAGAAGGGCATGAACAACCTCATCAGAATACCTGACATCAACGTCAGCAAGGTAGGGATCTCATCTCACTTATTTAGTCATAAGTAACATGTCTATATCTTGTCTCAGGTATGTGTCTGATCTCATAAATCTTGTCTCAGTTATGTGTTTGATCTCATAGATCTTGTCTCAGGTATATGTCTGATTTCATAGATCTTGTCTCAGGTATGTGTCTGATCTCATATATCTCATCTCAGGTATGTGTCTGATCTCATAGATCTTGTCTCAAGGTATGTGTCTGATCTCATATATCTCATCTCAGGTATGTGTCTGATCTCATATATCTCATCTCAGGTATGTGTCCGATCTCATAGATCTTGTCTCAAGGTATGTGTGTGATCTCATAGATCTTGTCTCAAGGTATGTGTCTGATCTCATAAATCTTGTCTCAAGGTATGTGTCTGATCTCATATATCTCATCTCAGGTATGTGTCTGATCTCATATATCTCATCTCAGGTATGTGTCTGATCTCATATATCTCATCTCAGGTATGTGTCCGATCTCATAGATCTTGTCTCAAGGTATGTGTTTGATCTCATAGATCTTGTCTCAAGGTATGTGTCTGATCTCATATATCTTGTCTCAGGTATGTGTCTGATCTCATAGATCTTGTCTTAGGTATGTGTCTGATCTCAGATCTTGTCTCAAGGTATGTGTCTGATCTCATAAATCTTGTCTCAAGGTATGTGTTTGATCTCATAGATCTTGTCTCAGGTATGTGTCTGATCTCATATATCTTGTCTCAGGTATGTGTCTGATCTCATAGATCTTGTCTCAGGTATGTGTCTCATCTCATATATCTTGTCTCAGGTATGTGTCTGATCTCAGATCTTGTCTCAAGGTATGTGTTTGATCTCATAGATCTTGTCTCAAGGTATGTGTCTGATCTCATAAATCTTGTCTCAAGGTATGTGTTTGATCTCATAGATCTTGTCTCAGGTATGTGTCTGATCTCAGATCTTGTCTCAGGTATGTGTTTGATCTCATATATCTTGTCTCAGGTATGTGTCTGATCTCATAGATCTTGTCTAAGGTATGTGTCTTATCTCATAGATCTTGTCTCAAGGTATGTGTCTGATCTCATAGATCTTGTCTCAAGGTATGTGTCTGATCTCATAGATCATGTCTCTAGGTATGTGTCTGATCTCATAGATCTTGTCTCAAGGTATGTGTCTGATCTTATAGATCTTGTCTCAGGTATGTGTTTGATCTCATAAATCTTGTCTCAAGGTATGTGTCTGATCTCATAGATCCTGTCTCAGGTATATGTCTGATTTCATAGATCTTGTCTCAGGTATGTGTCTGATCTCATAGATCTTGTCTCAGGTATATGTCTGATTTCATAGATCCTGTCTCAGGTATATGTCTGATCTCATAGATCCTGTCTCAGGTATATGTCTGATTTCATAGATCCTGTCTCAGGTATATGTCTGATCTCATAGATCCTGTCTCAGGTATATGTCTGATTTCATAGATCCTGTCTCAGGTATATGTCTGATCTCATAGATCTTGTCTCAAGGTATGTGTCTGTTCTCATAGATCTTGTCTCAGGTACGTGTCTGACCTCATAGATCTTATCTCAAGGTATGTGTTTGATCTCATAGATCTTGTCTCAAGGTATGTGTTTGATCTCATAGATCTTGTCTCAAGGTATGTGTTTGATCTCATAGATCTTGTCTCAGGTATGTGTCTGATCTCATAGATCTTGTCTCAAGGTATGTGTTTGATCTCATAGATCTTGTCTCAGGTATGTGTTTGATCTCATAGATCTTGTCTCAGGTGTTTGGATCTTTATGTGGCTGATCTCATAGATCTTGTCTCAAGGTATGTGTCTTATCTCATAGATCTTGTCTCAAGGTATCTGTCTGATCTCATAGATCTTGTCTCGAGGTATGTGTCTGATCTCATAGATCTTGTCTCAAGGTATGTGTCTGATCTTATAGATCTTGTCTCAGGTATGTGTCTGATCTCATAAATCTTGTCTCAAGGTATGTGTCTGATCTCATAGATCCTGTCTCAGGTATGTGTCTGTTCTCATAGATCTTGTCTCAGGTACGTGTCTGACCTCATAGATCTTATCTCAAGGTATGTGTTTGATCTCATAGATCTTGTCTCAAGGTATGTGTTTGATCTCATAGATCTTGTCTCAGGTATGTGTCTGATCTCATAGATCTTGTCTCAAGGTATGTGTTTGATCTCATAGATCTTGTCTCAGGTATGTGTTTGATCTCATAGATCTTGTCTCAGGTATGTGTCTGATCTCATAGATCTTGTCTCAAGGTATGTGTTTGATCTCATAGATCTTGTCTCAAGGTATGTGTCTGATCTCATAGATCTTATGACAAGGTATGTGTCTGATCTCATAGATCTTGTCTCAAGGTATGTGTTTGATCTCATAGATCTTGTCTCAGGTATGTGTCTGATCTCATAGATCATGTCTCAAGGTATGTGTCTGATCTCATATATCTTGTCTCAAGGTATGTGTCTGATCTCATAGATCTTATGACAAGGTATGTGTCTGATCTCTAGTGACTCGTCACAAGGTTGGTGTCTGCCCTGATGTTTACATCATGTACTACATCTCAAGGAGTCTCTCTTTCGTTTTCAGAAATAGCGTAAAATTTAAGTTGTGACACTGTTGTCACTCATCATCAAGAAAACTTTCCAAAACCTCAGACCGTTCTCTCTTACTGTAACTTTCTCAGCAGTATTACTGCCAGTTATTGTCTCAACTTAGGTTCTCGCCACAAACACTACAGACAACCACTAAGTGAGGTCTTCCTTTACAGGTGCATGCTGGGATAAAGTATGACTACAACCTACAGAGTTATGTCATCACTGATTCTGGCAGTCAGAATGGAACATTCCTCAATGATGCTCGCATATCACAGGTCAGGGTGATAGAACAAGTGATTTTTTATACATGTCAATATTGCCATTATGATCATGTTCTCATGATTTGATTGAAGTCAAATAACACAACACTACTTTACTTTAACCACATTATTAATAGAAATGAAATAAAAGCTGTGGTTTAGATTCCAATGTGATGAATATTGCAGTTAAAGAGTCTGTTAGGTGAACCCTCTAGGTGATATTGATGAAGCTATTTGTCCGCCCAGGGGCAGGTCGTGGGTTCGATCCCCGACCGCGTCATACCAAAAGACGTTAAAATATGGTACTTGTTCATCCCTGCCTGGCGCTTGGCATTAATGGGTACAGAGTCAGTATAATGGGTCTGAGTGGGGTATTCATACTTCACTGTGGCATGGTATCTCAGTGGGCTACCACTATAAAACCAGCTTCAGTCTGGGCTAGTACAAGCAGCCGCACATACTCATACATGCTATTGAAGCTATTTATGAGAACCAGTACTGTAAATCCTGAAGGTTTTGCAAGCAGGAAAATAAACAATAGTTTAATGACAGTTAATTTGCAGGCCACCAAGAAACAAAAGTAGGGAAGGAAGCATATTTCTTTTGTTTAGTTTCACTCACTGTCAGCCACCCAGCTGCATTACAATTGATAAATAAAACCTCACATCCTGTCTCCTGACGAAGTACAGTTTGTCATGCTGAGTCAGCAGTCTAAACAGGAAGGTTCACAAACAGCAGCATCTCGTCAAATCATTGTGTAACACTGAGCAGTCCAGTAGGGCTCTCTGAAGAGATTGATAAATGGAAATATGGGAAGGATAAATATAAGTGAAAATTGTGTCATCAATAATATCAAACATTAACTATTGCTATGAAATAAAGTGTTTATTCACACAATACAAACATTTACACCTTTATTCATTGGCAATGCTCAGTTTTACTAGAAATCCATGAATAAATATGTCACCACTTATCAGTGATGTTGATTTCTTTCTCTTTTTCATTTTTAGGCCAAGTTACTTCTCCTATGTATATCAATAATTGAGCGATATTAAGTTAATGATTATTGATCTATGATCTGTATCAATTGCCATGCCTCTAGTCAAGACAAGGCCCAGTCAGGCCATACTGACAGATACACCTACTCCCTGGACCACCCCTGTCAACAACTCCTGCGTCTGTGGTGTGAGAATCACTGACTGACAAAGAGTTACCATGTAAAAGTAACATATGTTATATTTGAGATTACACTTTCTTAGTTAAGTACAAATTCTAGTACTTTTTTGAGTTGAGTACTCAAAAAAGTACTAGAATTTGTACTTTACTAAGAAAGTGTAATCTCAAATATAACATATGTTACATTTGACCACTTTCTAAATGGCATTGTGTAATCATAGCTTTCGGTCGTGGGAACCGTGCCAATTAACACCTATCAGAGGGGTACACAAAGCCCGCAGTCTAGACTACCAGTTGTCCGACTTCCATTTTTGTGGAAGTCGCGGTAGCTGAATAGGTTAGGCGGCTGACTTTGTGTGCTGGCGATTAGGTGCCTGACTCTGAGGGTGTGAGTTCGAATCCCAGATGGGGCTCAACTCAAAAAAGTACTAGAATTTGTACTTTACTAAGAAAGTGTAATCCCAAATATAACATATGTTACATTTGACCACTTTCTAAATGGTATTGTGTAATCATGTAAAAGTAGGTAATCTCATTAACAGATATCGTAAAACTTCTAGACCCAGTTAAGGCTGTTGCTACTCAGTAATGTCATTGTTTGAAACTTTACTGTTTTGGTGTATCATGTTATTTTCCCCTAAAGGTGCAGTCTGAGAGTACAGTCATATCACATGGTGATGTTCTTCAAGTGGGCAATACGACCCTGTCCCTGCACATCCACCCTGGCAGTGACACATGTGATGAGTGCGAGCCAGGACAGGTCTTGGGCAGATTGCAGGCTGAGGAGAAGGCTAACCGAGGTAAGTGTCTGGTCAGTGTTTAGTCAAGCTCAGTGTCGTGTCAAGGTCAACGCTGGCTGTTGTGTCGATGTCAGTGTCTGGCCATTGGTGTGTCAAGGTCATTGTCTAGCCATTGGTGTGTCAAGGTCAGTGTCTGGCTGTTGTGTCAAAGTCAGTGTCTGGGCATTGGTATGTCAAGGTCAGTGTCTAGCCATTGGTGTGTCAAGGTCAGTGTCTAGCCATTGGTGTATCAAGGTCAGTGTCTAGCCATTGGTCATTGTCTAGCCATTGGTGTGTCAAGGTCTGGTTGTTGTGTCAAGGTCAGTGTCTTGGCATTGGTGTATCAAGGTCAGTGTCTAGCCATTGGTGTGTCAAGGTCAATGTCTGCCCATTGGTGTGTCAAGGTCAGTGTCTGGCCCTAGGTGTGTCAAGGTCAGTGTCTGGCCCTACGTGTGTCAAGGTCATTGTCTGTCCCTAGGTGTGTCAAGGTCATTGTCTAGCCATTGGTGTGTCAAGGTCAGTGTCTGGCCATTGGTGTGTCAAGGTCAGTGTCTGGCCCTAGGTGTGTCAAGGTTATTGTCTGTTCCTAGGTGTGTCAAGGTCATTGTCTAGCCATTGGTGTGTCAAGGTCAGTGTCTGGCCATTGGTGTGTCAAGGTCAGTGTCTGGCTGTTGTGTCAAGGTCAGTGTCTGTTCCTAGGTGTCTCAAGGTCATTGTCTAGCCATTGGTGTGTCAAGGTCTGGTTGTTGTGTCAAGGTCAGTGTCTTGGCATTGGTGTATCAAGGTCAGTGTCTAGCCATTGGTGTGTCAAGGTCAGTGTCTGGGCATTGGTGTATCAAGGTCAGTGTCTGGCCATTGGTGTGTCAAGGTCTGGGTATTGGTGTATCAAGGTCAGTGTCTAGCGATTGGTGTGTCAAGGTCAGTGTCTGGCTGTTGTGTCAAGGTCAGTGTCTGGCCATTGGTGTGTCATAGTCAGTGCCTGGCTGTTGTATCAATGTCAGTACCTGGCCATTGTGATGTTGAGGTATGCGCTTAGTCAGTGGAGTTTGTCAAGGTTAGTGTCTGGCCATTGTTGTGCCAAGGTTAGAGCCTTACCAATGAGGGGTTCATGGGCGAATGAACAGCTCAGAGTTTTTCATTCCATCTGGCGAGGACTCTATTTATAAACCAGTTCCAAGTTTCGGTAACTTCACCATGTCAAAAAGGACGATGTTATATATCAGTATCATGAGAATTAAGGAAGTAATTTAGAACACATAATGCTGTGCGTGCAGAACACGCAGGTAGAAAATATCGTGTGCGAAACATAGATTTATTTGCATGAAACATGCAGGTTTTTGCATTAACCCGAACACTGGGTGAGTGAGAGGTATGACCTGCTCACTTTTGGAAGCAAACAACCAGATGGTTGAAAAAGTGATATGAATATATCCATAGAGGATAGGGTTTGTATGGATACCTATATTGTTTTTGAATCAGGTTACATATGTTATGTAGGATGTCTGGCATTGCTAGATAAAGAAGAGGAATCGACAAGTATTGTGTGTGTTGCAGAGGTGAAGATCGTGAGTAGGGCAGATCGGTTGAAGGAGCACAAACAGCAGCTGAAACAGATCAAGAGGAGATACGGTCTGGAGGTGAGCTGAACCACTGGAGAGGTTTCCAGGTCCCAATGACCCAGGTGGATTAGACTGCTGTAAGCTTTGGTCCCAGACTCTCAGTTATGAATACATACTCCCTATCAAAAGTTTAGACTCACTAGTGTAAATGTAGCCACTTACTTCAGTCAACTGATCTAAACTAGATTTTGCAAAATATTCTATGCAGTTTAAGGGAACTGTTCACACATAAACTGATGTATTGTAAAACAAATTTGTAACGTTGAAAAGATTATTGTCATGAGTTCAATAAATGATGAAACTGAGTGAAAACTGGCAAATCCTTAACAAAACTTTACACCAAAATGCAGCTGTTCACATGCACGATATTTGCACCTGCTTTTCAGCAATTTTATGCATGATCCTCATGCAATTCATCTCCATAAGGTTTGCAGTTGGTTCCCCCAAGTTAGTGGAGACATTCATCTTTGATGTAACCACATATATATACATAACATATAGTGAGTCCTTTAAGTGATTCTAAACTTTTGATGGGTAGTATATATGACAGCAACAAAACACTTTCCATAGTCATAAGACATCTTTCCTGGAAGCAGAGTATCCTCAACAATTCCAACAATATCGTGAGCATGTGTTTATGAATCACCAACAAATAGGGATGACACACCATCAAAAAGGTGAGTGTATCCTGCCACAAAAATACATGCAATGGCAAGTCAATTATCCACATGATAAACAAGACAAAACAGGAAACATCCAAATACAGCCAATAGATAAATGATGATAAGTGATAATTGTATATTGCAGGTAAACCAAAACTCAGTCAGTCAGTCGGTATACAGGTCTAGCATATATACCCGGTCTGTGTTTAGTAGTCCATTGTCTACTTTTGTCAAGTCTATCACTGAAAGCTGTACCTTCACCTGTTTCAGAACTGTGCCTATGTAGACAACACAACAGCCATCCACAACCCAGCCTATGAAGACAAGGCAGCTTCCAGGCGGCAGACAGTCGGTAGTGATAACCCACATGCTCCGGATGAGGGCCCAGCCTCGGTCATGCAGTAAGAAGCAGATATTACTGTTTGCCTTCACAGCTCTCATGTTCATGTTCCAGTTCCAGTGACATTCTCAAATCCTGTTGTCAGTCAGTTTTGTATGATTGGTTCACATTGTAACTCATTATGTATGGGGTGAAATAAGATGACTTGAAGTGACATTTCCTCTGATATCATTGGTATTGCTTTCAGACCAATATCAACTCAGAACAAGGGCCACAAGCTGCTGGCCAAGATGGGCTGGAAGGAAGGTCAAGGTCTTGGCAAGGACAATACAGGAATAGCAGAGCCAGTCAGTGAAATATGTCATGATTTGAATATTAGACAATTGACAAAATCACAGTTAATTCTGTGATATGACTGCTAAATACATAAAAAATCTCAATCCCAACATACAGTCATTCAGATTTGATGGAAAAGTTCACTGGCCCCTCCTGTTTCAGATCAATGTGATGCTGAGGACCAATCAGGCAGCTGGATTAGGGTCTGGGGCAGCAGTTCAGAAGAGCCTAGATGACGTGCAGATGGCGGGGAAGAGTCAGCGATGGCTGCAGGCCCAGCAGAGATACAACAAGCTGGCTAAGCAGCCTGTTGATCTTAGCAAACCCACAAACATGTCCCTCTCCTTCAAGAAAGGCCCAACCATCAAACTCCAGCCTAAGGTTGACCTTGGGGCAGGAGAATCTGATGAGGATGGAGACTGACTTGATGGAGCTGTTTGTGCAGGACTCCCGTCAAAGGTTACCCAACACATGTGATCAGATACTGATCTGTCAGCCAGTCGAACAGACCTGTATCACTGTGTGCTCATTCCCACACAACAGTGAACTTAGGCCCTGAAGGAGTGTGTCCCGGGAATGGTTTTGAAAACAGGAACTTGCGACAATCCAGGAGGTGATGTTGCGATGACCAGTTTCTCAAAGCTGATGATCAGTTCATCATCATTCACTCGGGTGGTGGGGTGGGTTAGCCTTGTGGTTAAAGCGTTTCGCTCATCACGTTGAAGACCCTGGTTCGATTCCTCACCTGGGCAAAGCGTTTGAAGCCCATTACTGTTGTCCTACCTGCCATGATTTGGCTGGAATATGGCTAAGAGCGTCATAAAACCAAACTCAGACACTCATAATTCATTATAAAAAACATTAAACATGTTCACTTATTTTTGTTGCAATTATGATCTATTCCCAAGTTCCAACTTGTCACATTGGCAAGAGGGTATTTCCAGGCAGGATTGATTGTGTTATGAAACAAGACATTTCCTGAACTTGGTAATCTCTTGACAGCTATAGCTAATGCTGGAAGTTATCCAGGACCAGGTTGTAGCAGGACTTAAGTGATACATTCATGTGTCATAGCACCCCTGTTACTGAACGTGCAATAAATGTGTTGGTTTTATCAAACTACAACACTATGCCTGCATTAGCTACCCATCATCATGATGGAGGTCACTTACGAACCCGTAACACCAAGCATGTAATAATATGTACTAATATGACTTTCCAATATTTGGAGTTGAGAGAATGTTTTCACATCCTTAGCCTAGACAGTGTAGATGACATGAAACTAAAAATACTGTTTGCTAACGAGGAATTGTTGAAAAGTTATAACATGTATATAGGAAGACCCTGATTAAAGACACCTTCCTGAAAATCTCACATTTTAAGTATCATTAGTTAATGACTACTTTAACAAGTTAGATAAATTCCTACTTTGTACAATATTTATTTTTGGTGTGACCATTAAGTAATGAAACAAGTAGGGTTTAGTGTGTCCAGTGGTCAATGAGTGTTGGATACTGTGTCCAGATAACATGAACAGTGGAGCATTGACTCACACTTTGTCAAATTAGATGGATGAGATTTGTTTTGTTGTTTATTTGGTTGATCTTTATCCAGTGTTGCTCAAATTGTGACAATCATGTTAACCTGTGGTCGGATTATGTATAATAAATAAACACAATTTAAATTTTCTTTTTATATGTTTATTTTGATAGGCTACCTGTTGGAGGGGTAAAGGGTTGACAATGGCAGCAGTACTACTGTGTTGAATGTATGGGAACACATTGACAACATGTAAATTAGAAGTTACAAAATGACCAACGGTTGTACTTGGCTTCTGTTTCTGGGAGTCCAACCTCAGATCCTGTGACAACTGAGGGACACTTTCTCTATACAGCAATTCAGTGCTTTTCACGTGGGTCAAAGACGAGTTGGAAGGAAGGTCAAGGTCTCAGCAAGGACAATACAGGATAGCTTGCAGAAAATTGGTTATGGCCCAAAATACAATTGCTGTATTTGTTAAGGCCGAATCTAGTAGCTACATGAAACATTCAAATATTAGACAATGTTGGGACTTGATACTCTGTACATCCTTAAAGCTGAATTTCAATTCATTACATTGCATTGCATACCTCTTGCTGAAAACGGCATGAAATGTTCAGTCAAGAGACATTGTTAATACAGCAGCGTGAATATTCTCGATTAATCCATAGTCAAGTTCAAAAGTAGGCTTTGTATGAGATGTTACGTGTGTTAACAACGGTTACAGTCAGAGCCTTTTTTACTTCCTGGCCTCTTGCACATCACCAGCAATCAGGAAGCCAGATACAACATTGGGTAGATCATACTCCTGTGAAGATGTATGTGTTTACTGGCCTGTATACTTGACAATAATACTACTTGACACATTTACTAGTCTTTTCGAGACACTAAACAAGTTGAAAATGAAAAAGTAATGTCTATTTTTCCATGTACACTGCACAAGGTCAATGCAAAGTTACATACGAGGGCTGGTCAAAAGGTTCTAAGCCTACATAACTTCTAGACTGGTAACACCAACTAATCTGAGGAGTGTTGCTGGACAGTGTTCTTCATCAGCATTTCCAGTCATTTTACTCAAATAGACAGTGTAGATGACATGAAACTAAAAATACTGTTTGCTAACGAGGAATTGTAGAACAGTTATAACATGTATATGGGAAGACCCTGATTTATAGACACCTTCCTGAAAATCTCACATTTTAAGTATGACTAGTTAATGACAGATAAATTCCCACTTTGTACAATATTTATTGGTGTGACCATTAAGTAATGAAACAAGTAGGGTTTAGTGTGTCCAATGGTCAACAAGTGTTGGATTCTGTGTCCAGATAACATGAACAGTGGAGCATTGACTCACACTTTGTCAAATTAGATGGATGAGATTTGTTTTGTTGTTTATTTGGTTGATCTTTATCCAGTGTTGCTCAAATTGTGACAATCATGTTAACCTGTGGTCGGATTATGTATAATAAATAAACACAATTTAAATTTTCTTTTTATATGTTTATTTTGATAGGCTACCTGTTGGAGGGGTAAAGGGTTGACAATGGCAGCAGTATGAGATGTTACGTGTGTTAACAACGGCTGCAGTCAGAGCCTTTTTACTTCCTGTCCTCTTGCACATCACCAGCAATCAGGAAGCCAGATACAACAGTTGGTAGATCATACTCCTGTGGAGATGTATGTGTTTACTGGCCTGTATACTTGACAATATTACTACTTGACACATTTACTTCTTTTCGTAGACACTAAACAAGTTGAAAATGAAAAAGTAATGTCTATTTTTCCATGTACACAGTAGTAGTAGATATAATGATTGTCCGGGACCAAGTCCAACAAAAGCCTCTGCAAAGCCTTATTTGGGAAATAAGGCTTTGGTCGGACCCTTAGCTCTTGCTACCATTACCCCTACTATTTTGAAAAGTAGTAAAATGTCCCGGCAGCCACAATTCCCCAAGGGAGAAATAGAAATGTATTGCGCTTCCTCCCAAGGGGAATTGTGTATCACATCACACAAAGTTGTGACGGCGGGATATGAACCCACATGTACAGCTTGCGCAGACTATACATAATGGGGTCGCACCACTCAACCGACTGAGCTACCGCGGACTTAGCTGAAGTAGGTCAGTTTAACGGGTAGATCACGCGCACCCACACATCACGTGCCACTATGCCGTGTTGACAGGAGGTAACATTGTGCCGTACGGTACGATCAATAATTCCTGTCTAACGAGTCCTCTGCCTGGCCCATCCCTCAAGTAGTACAAGGTACGCTCGTCTGCTTTCATGTCAACTTTATCTATGTTGTAAGTTTTGATTGACCATATAGGATCGGTGGCTCGCTTACGGCTATCACCCTCGTGTTCCCCAGGCTGGTATAGATACCTAACTAGGACCCTATCTGGTATCTGTTTCTCCTTCCCACGCAATGGAGCAGCCGACTCTGCAACTATTGATTTTAGTTTGATAGCGTCTGCCGGTTTCTTATCAGTGAGCCGGGTGACTTCATGGTTGATTGCCGACACCACCTTAGGGAGCCGTGATACCCATTCAGTCGATCGTTTTCCCGGGGTGGCCATGTCCCTAGCATACTGATGTCCGAATAAGCGCTCAGCCAAAGTCCTATTGAATCTCTCAACTATGGCTTGGCTGCGATGGGCCCGCCGCTACACGCCTGACCTTTGTATCGCGGTTTGGCTAGCAGTTGTGACACGGCACCCATGAACTCCCGCCCTGGGTCAACTTGCAGCTCTGTTGGCCACGCCAGCGGACTGCGTTTGTATATGCGTTCGAATCCTCTGGCTACCTGGGCAGAATCTTTCGTGGTCAAGGGCTCGGCTTCCTTGTAGCGACTGGCTACGCCCACTACGGTTAAGGCATACTTGTACCTCTTATCGTGGGTAGGAACAGTAGGTCTGCCTGGTGAACGTTATTAGGTATGTTAATACCAAACCTCCTTCTAGGCACGTGAGCGTGGTGGCGGTAAATAGATCTGCCACAGGGCTTGTTTTTCAAGCCACGCTTTGGCTTCCTCCGGGGTACTTTCGCGCCATTTTAGCCATTTTATCTACAGCTTAGCTCCTTTCCAGTACCCACGCGGGCTATAGTAAATAGCCTCAAACTTTCTCTGGTTCCGTGACATGTCGTCCCGACAGGGTATTTATTTATATCTATGTTCTTGGTTCAATTTTCTCATGCCCGTACGCGTACGTGTTTATCCCATCAATAGCTATCCAACGTTTAGTGTCCATCGGCGACAGGGACGTCTTGTTTATAGTCAGTCCGTATATCCTATGGCCATCACTTCTAAGTGTGTTCATTTTATGTCTAAAGGTACGGGTCTTGAACAGGGCTTCCTTGAATCTGGCGTGTTTGATGTGTTGTTTAACCACGCACTTCTTAACACCCTTAGCCTCCGGATCTCACTATTGTCGGCCTTCAGGATGGAGTACATCTTAGGTCTCAAACCTATGTACTCGGCTATGGGCGTGCCAGCACACTCGTCCTTCATCTTACCTAGGACCTTTTATTTACCGTGCTGTGTATGGCATGGTCCTTGGGGTAGTCGCTGGTGTCATATAAATCGAGGTGTTTTTCATGTCCTCGTTACACGCCCTCGGTTCGAATCTCCATCAGCAGGGAATCCGTGTCAGTGTATAGCACTTCACACCTGTCGTCGTACTGTTTCTTAAGCTTGTTGTAGTAAAAGTCGTACATCAGGTGTTTGGATAAATCGAGGATGCTCATCCCCACGTAAACAGGCCGGTTGAATTTTATGTGGCTTTTCTTCATGTGTAGGGCAACTAGGTCATCGGTGAATATTTTGCTACGGTTGAATGCCGGACTGGCTATCAGTCTCCTGAGCTTGTCTTCCTCATTCGACCGAACCAGCTTCACGGTCACGCGTTTCCTCAGGTTCTCCATAGTCTTACCGAACACCGAAGTTGTTCATGAGCTTGTAGAGGTTTTTCTCAAAGTCACTGGTGGCAAGCTTCGGAGGTCTGTGTTCATTCTGATGTAGGGTTCCATCCATGGGCTCTGGTCGAACATGAGCACCCTGTGTATTTTGGTCAGCCTCATACCCAACGACAGGTACAGCTGTAGGTTTGCGATAGTGAACGATGTACTTGGTCTTATTCATTAAGTTTGGCACGAGTTTTTCAACGTCTGCCACCCGCCCACCTAATAAGTTATGTTGGTACTCAGACATCCAGTCTGGGTTAACCCTCATACGTTCGGGGGCCAGGGGGTAGCTGTTGTGTGATGTGTGTAATGCCTTGGGGTACTCCAAGTCAACCCTCGAGGATATAACCTTTGTTCGAATCTGACGCGATGCTCATAACATCGACCTCATGTGACGCCCATTCGAATCCCCCTGTGGGTAGATACTGGCTCATAGCCCAGCCGTACAGGTTGTTGGCGTCGAGGTAGAGAATGTGATTGGTTGGCTTGCTTGGGTCGTAGCCCTTCACGTATTGATTATTTGCTTTCGTGTATCGTTTGGTTGCCATGGAGATCCCACCTCGCAAGCCTTTCTCAATGAATAGGTGCATGTCGTAATCTGTGAGTAATTCCAACTTAACTCCGGTCTTTTTAAGCAAGGCATCCCACGACAGACCTGGGCTGGTGTAATACCATGCAGGGTCGAGTTTATACTGCTTGAAACATGTCCGCCTAAACGTCTCAAACACGTCGGCTAACAGCAGTACATCTGTCCTCAAGTACAGGTCGTGATAGTCACCCAGATTCCTACAACCCAGTTTATTCCATACTTTAATAGCGTGTGAGTAATCGTCTTGGGATATTTCCGAGTCGGTCAGATTGCTGTAAAATTCTCTGATGGGGGTAGTCTGGT